GAGAAGTTCAACTAATAACAACAACTGAATAACATTTCATTTTTGTAATCGAAATGAATTCTTTACTGTTGTGAAATGAAATAAAAATTTTCCTTTTCAAATATAAAACAAAAAAAAATTCTTCATCTTTTAATCACCAAACGAAATGTTATATAAAAGCCTTCTGGTGGCGAAACGGAGTTCGCCGGGTTTACTAGTTATTATTAAATATTGTCATTTGTCTTTCTAACTTCTAAGATAAAATTTTAATTAGTTTATTAGTAAACAGTGGATTTATTTATTAACAGTGAGCGATGCCAGACCCATCGAACGCCTTTGCGATATCAAGGCTGACCGCCATGGCCTCCCCTTTGCTCCCAATGCCATCATCGATACGTAAGGTGCACAAGAAGATCTCCAGCTCTTCACCAGTGGCGAAAACCACACTGACGGTCGCAAGTAAGCTGGTTATCTTCTAGATGACCCAAAAAGCTGCGTATTGATGATTCGCTCCATTACCTTTGAAATCAGGGACGTAAAAATGAAATATTTTCCTTTGACGTCTTTGAGTTTTAATCAAAAAAGAAAACAGAAATAATACATATGTTCTAACAACAATATTGCTTTAATTTATTGTCGTTATCAGAAAAAATATGTGCCAAACCAACAAACTAGTATTATAATAATTAGTAGTGGAATAAAATCAATGATTGCTTTTTATTATACAAATTATTTTGCTTTTAATGTTCTACAGTCTACAAGCTGTAATCGTAGCTCAGATTCTTTTCTTTTGGGGAGGCATCGAATTTTCTTATTAATCAAGAATGTTTTTTAAGAATTTATTAGACTCAAAAAAAGGAAATGCCTATAAAACTTTTCCATATTTAAATTTTTTTGTTTGACAAATTTTTCTATTTTATAATTTTTGTTTGTCGTCTAAAAAGTCTCGTTTATTAACTGTAATTCATCAAACGTAAAATGTTTTATTGGTGCTTCCATAATATAAAACTTTCTTTTCAAATATCGGTTTAAATAATAAATTTATAGCTTTAGTGATTTTTCTTAGGTTAATGAAGTAAAACGAACTGTCGATCTACCTGATTGGAAGTAGTCACCGGCGTGGAAGTCGGCAAGGGAGTTTCTTATGCGACGACCGGCCTTTATTGTGGCGGGGGTAACTAAACATGCAATGTTTGAAAGGCTGAGTTGTAGCTCTCTGGGAAAACCTTGGGCGGAAAATTATTCCACATCATTCAATTGTGTGGAAAAAATGACCGTGACGCCCATAGTCTTGTAACTGTATGCATCCAGGTAATATGGGTGAAATCCGATGCTACAGGGACTAGTGTTACTTATTTCTACAGACGGTAGAACACATGGAGGGAGCTCATATCCTTTTGGAGGCTTAAGGGTTCTAAATCGTGTGAGTATGGGATCGTCGACAATAGGAACTGCAAGACATTGTATGGAGTAAAGTTGAAGTTGTTGCTGTGGGGCCAGAGGACCGGACTACAGGTGAGAACAGTTCTCCATGCGGGGACAAACCTGTGCTTTGTAAAATAAAAGCAAGTGTCCCGGTGTGTTTGTAGACTAGTTACGCCTTACCCTCCAAATGTCTCAGAAAATGAAAGTTGTTCGCTATTGTTCAAGTTTCAGTCTTGATTTTTAAAATTCAGCGTTACTTCCAGTAATGTCCTACAAAATGGCTGAAGCCAAAATGAAGCTATAAAATGGCTGAAATGGTTCAGTATTATAATGTTATACTGGTTATAGTGGAAAACGCTCATTTTTCTCCTAGGTATTAAATTGAAATATAACCTACCCTATTGGAGGACCACTCTAGTAAGGACTTAATTCTAAACAAGATTTAACTGGTAAGGACATTTGTAAATATGTTGTAACTAAAGAGTTACATTTTTCAACTTTTTTTTTTAATTACTGCTATTAAAAAGAACTAGAAATAATCATGTTATACTCAGGATTTGTTTTAAAAGGCAATATGTTTAGGGTGAAAAAAATAAAAGAACAATATATTATACATCAATTTATTAATCAGAATTTAATACTGTATTACATAGAAGAAATGCACTTCTCAGAAACATTCAGAAGACTTCCCTTTGGGACAGTTCAATATGGAGTGACTCTCCATTTATATTTACTTTATAAATTGAACTATGTACTTTGTTATAGAATCAATATTTATGAAGATCTGCATTGCCACATACTTAAAAATCTATGTATATTTTTCACAAACCTACAACTTTAGAAAAAAAAACTTACTTTTATTTAGTATACAGCAAAGCATGAAATTACCATTGTCTATGAGATAATCTTGGTTGAATAAATAAAATCTTGTAAATAAACAACAAATAATAACATACATTTTATAACGTTAGATTTCTTTCTGTCGCTGCCACATTTTGTCAACAACATCAACCATCACAATAAAGAAAAAAAAAGAAATTAACTTATTTTAGGAATCGAATATCATTTTCATAGGTGACACCGCTTAGAAAGGCGATTTGACTCATATCCAACATAGTGAATAATAAAAATTTTGGAGAATACACACAGCACAAGAATACTACCAATATAAATACAGACATCTTAATTCATTCAGTCAAAGTGAAACATGTATAAAATATTCAATTAGAAATAATTATAATCAGTCTTGTTTAGAGAAAAAGTTTCATCAATACGTGTGGAAACTGTGTACACGTTTTGATATAATATTTTGCTATCACAATACAGTATGTCAGATATGATGTCATTCCTTCTCTTGGACGTAACTAGTATATAAATCGCCTGCTACGCTACTTAGTGTTATTATCACAGTTGTTTAGTAGAGGTGGGTGCAGTACTTTGTACATCAAACAGGAGCTACCTGCCATCGACGACCATTCTCAACACGAAACGCTATCCGCATATCATAATGTTCAAATGCTAGCCGACCCGCGGCCGTGCGTCAGCTGCACGCGTCCTTTGATAATAATCATCAGTGTATACCTGTACAACCGTACAACTGACCACGTCACCGGGTATGCGCCATTATATAGGAAAACATCTTTGAGATGATATACGCACGAATTACACATTCTTCCTTGCAGTCTTCTCTTATAATGTAAACTCGCACCTTAAATGCGATACAACCGCGAGACCCACAACAGTCGTTCACCCAATGATCACTCTGACCCGTTTGTCTTTCACTGTTATCGTATTGTATCTTTAAGATGCATTTAATAACGGGATTCTTAATAATAACTATTACGTCCCCTTCAACTGGTAAGTTCCACCTCGTCACCTCGCGGTAAACGGAAAACTAAATTGAATAACAATAAAATATTCTTATATCTATTCATCATAATATATATTTGTGAACAACTTGCAAGCTTTGAGGTCACAAACATTCATGAAATTCGTTCAAATAGTCAAAAAATATATTTTTGTCTAGAGTTCACACTTTCCCACCGAGGAAGTGTTCTTATGCATTAACAATTGACCAACGCAACGACAGGTATAGTAATGAAATATCACAGATCTCCTCTTTGGACAGTAATGGGCTTCTAACACGATTCAATATAATACCCGATATATTTATTTAGTTTGTACCAATTGACTCCCCATCTCGACCTTTAGCCTTTAGAAACCCCTTTACGTACAAAGAAACTCCAGTAAAAAACTAGAATTGCGTGAAATTTACATCATAAAAAAATAATCGAAAACATTAAGAAATCACTTATTTCACTAAGAAAAGAAAGTAATTGTTCATTTACTTTGCAATGAATAAAAAGACTAATGTTTCTATGTTAAATGCACATTGTATATACATATGTATTTTCTTTTCTGTGAGATTAATACAATCGATTTGTAATTGCATTCCAAACCCAGCTTAGCCAGACCGAGCCGTCCAACCGACTAACGAATCTAGGTATAATAATACTCAAGGTCTAATAATCAATAAAAATATATAACCATGAAATCTCGACCAGAATGTCATCGACGTCATATTACATAAGAAAAATATTCACAATTTTATCTGGCAATACAGATTGTTTTAAAAGTATATCAAAAGCATTTTTAATTTTCTTATACTAAGTTGTCCCGCACATTTTCACTGGATAAGATCATCATTAACAATAAAAATAATTTATATAAAATATCAGATTTTATATCTGCCCTTTGAATTCCACCCCCTTATAATTTACTCATCTTCTATATGTTTCGTGCATTTCGTACATCATACAGACATTTAAAAACGAAAGGCACCCGGGATTACACAGGAGGGTACCCCACACCGACTACTCTAACAATTATAATGATTAAATTTAAACGTGGAAATACATTACTTCGACATTCCACCACAAACTATTTATTATCTGCTGACCACATGTTAAACATTAAATATACTATTTAATTTATAAAATACCTTCTTACTCCACACACTAAGCTTTAAAGACGCGGAAATAAATCATCTACCGTGAAAATATTAAGCATTTAATATTGGAAACACGTTGGTTAAGTATCATATACTTTAATTAAGATAACATGTAAATGCTACGTATAAATGCATTTCACATGATTAATATTAGTACCACCAACAATTTTTGAGTATTTTCTAATAAACAGTAACCTCTGGATGTGGTCAACAGTAATAAACGAACATTAAATCTAACACACTTATTAATATATTTAAAACGATCTGAAATAGAATCCACAAAGCGTTTAGCATTTTGAAAAGTTTAAACAGCATTTGCCTTTCTCCTCCAACATCAACATTCTAATCGAGAGGAGCTAAACTTTATAACGACGCTATATAAGAACATTTGCAAGTTATCAATCTCAGATCTAAAAAAAATAATCAAATCTATTATAAAGTGATAAGAAATCGCCCCATTTAAACTGATAAAAGACAATCAAATGTATAAGTACGATATCAATTTCTATATTGACGAGAATGTAACAGCTCAGACAGTTGAGAAGGATAGTGAAGCCCTAGTTTAGTGAAGGGGCTGTTAAACGTTTTACTGCTGTACCGGAGCGGCGTAGAGCAGCGGGCCGGGCGGCAGGTGAGGGTAGGGCACGCCCGCGCCTACTGTGGCCTGGTAGCCGCAAGGGCCGCCGCCACCGACGCCACCGCCGTAGAACTTACCACCTGGTAACATTATACGTATTTAAATTAACACACTGACATAATACACTATGTAGTACTATGTAAACAAAGTTTAATTTAGTATTTGATTATTACATAATATTTAAATGGTATGTTTACTATGTAAGAATGTCAAAACAATTACAACAAAAATTAAAAAATTTCAAAATCCCACTAATTTTATAATTACGAAAGTTTGTGTGTGTTATGTTTGTTAGTTCTTTTGATAAAATTTTGTATATAGGAAGCTGACGTCCAGGAATAACACATAGGCTACTTTACATCCCGGAAATCCGCGGGTAACACCGCGGGGCGCAGCTAGTAGATAAATAAAATAGAGGAGGAGACAGGAATAGATTAAGACGGTCAACGGAAGTTTTAATCTATGTATTAAACTAATTCACATACCCAGCATTTCCTGGTGATGTGGGTGCATTTGTGGATAATGTGGGGGTGTGGCGAAGTGAGGCGGCGGCGACCCGTACGACGATCCAGAACCGGCGGATTTGTTGCCAACTGAATTTGTATTACGGTATTGTTGTCCTCCGTTACGAGGATCTGTACGGAATATGAGTAACCGTTAATATAATAGCTTTTTATTAAACAAAAATATTATATAATATATTAATATAATAATAGTTTTTTTATAAAAAGTCGTCAGTGATACATACGTTGTCCATATCCATTTTGATTGTTGTAGGCGTTCTGGTATCCGTTGTTGTAGCCGCCTTGGTAACTTCCCATTGAATCGAATACGTTTGGACTTGGGAAGGGTACTGTCTTTTGGTAAGTGTTCTGTCTGTACCCTTGGTTGTTTTGGTTCTGATTAGAAAACCTCGGAGCTTGTGGGTTCGGGTTGCGGTTCTGGTAACTGTTTTGGTTATCTTCGGGAGTTGTCATCGCCATTTTGTTGTTCCACTGGTTATTCTTCTGACGGGGTGAACTGGCTCCGCTGTTATTTTCCTTGCGTTGCTGCCAGCGATTGCGACCTATGCCAATAATTTAAAAGAATATAAATGTCAAATTTATATTAACAAAACATAAATAAAATTCTTAATTCATGAATACAACTAGAATAATTTTTGTAGCAGCATACTTGAGCTATTGTTGTTGTTTCTTGCCATATCACTCAATTTTGCGGGAGGATTTTGACCCGTTTCACGTAAAACAGCAACCAGAGCTCGAGCTTGACGGGCGTCGCCGCTGGTGAAGTATGTGTAAGCTGTTCCCGATTGTTGACATCTGCCAGTACGACCTAAAAGAAATAAATATGGTAAGTAATGTCGAAGTATGAGTGCTACCACACAGTGACGGCAGGTACTCACCAATCCTATGAATGTAATCCTCTGAAGTGTTGGGGTAATCATAGTTAACAACAAACTTGACATCTTCAACGTCCAGCCCACGAGCGGCAACATCTGTCGCGATAAGTATTGTGGTAGATCCGTTACGGAACTCCGTTAAAACTGCGTCTCGCTCTGGTTGTGACTTGTCGCCGTGAATAGCCAAAGCCTTGTGGCCATTGCGGCGAACTGCGTGCGCAATATCATCCACCTTAAAAAAATCTTTCGTCAATTTTGATTCCTACATAATTAATAGGTACGTATTAATGTCCATTAATTTGTTACCTTTTTCTTTGTTTCAACAAATACGATGACTTTGTTATCTTTCTCTGATGATATCTCTTTTAAAAGGTTTATGAGTTTGCTTTCCTTTTCGTGCTCTTCGCACACTTCAATGATCTGTTTGATATTGTTATTGGCGGAAAGATTCAATGATCCAATATTGACTTTGATGTAATCAGTCAGGAAGTCCTCGGCTAGAGCCTGAATCTCTTTTGGCCAAGTGGCAGACCACATCAATACTTGACGGTCTGGACGGATTTGTTCAATAATTTTACGGATCTGGGGTTCGAAACCCATATCTAACATTCTATCTGCTTCATCCAACACCAAGTATGTGCATCGCCGCAGGTTGGTAGTTCCACGCTCCAAGAAATCGATCAGCCGCCCAGGTGTCGCTATAACAATCTCCACTCCTTTTTCTAAGTCTCTGGCTTGAGGCCCTTTAGGAGAGCCACCAAACAAACATGTGTTTCTTATGCAACCGCGGGCGCTGTACGCCTGAGCAACTGACTGAATTTGTTGGGCCAATTCTCTAGTAGGAGCCAAAATCAGAGCAATAGGTCCATCACCTCGCTGGATCCTGGGTTGATGAACAATATGCACCGCCGCTGGGAGCATATAAGCTAGAGTTTTGCCAGATCCAGTGGATGCAATACCAACCATATCACGACCAGATAGAGCAATCGGCCACCCTTGTGCTTGAATACCAGTAGGTTCTTCCCATCCTTGTTCTCTGATGGTTGTCATAATGTGATCAGGGAAATTGCCTTCATCAAATATTTGGTTAGGACGAGGAACATTATTGCCACTAACTGTTATCTCTTTGGCTGCACGGAAAATTTGGACTTCATCATCAGTTCTGGCCTCAACATTAGAATGAGGTTTGTAAAAGTTTTTCTGAATGGTATCCAGATTCGACATATCCCATTCAGGTTTAGTCAATGCTTCACCTGGGTGTTTAGCTTTACGACTCTGCATCTTCCTGTCAGAAAACTCATTGGTTGGAGACACGGAACTGTTGCTGTAAATCTTTTTAGGAACAAATGTTTGTTGGCCATTATTGTTTCCGTTAGGGTTGTTATAGTTTTTGGGTCCATAATTCTTTTGGAAGTTCTGTTGTTTAGGTCCTCCAAAATCGTTCTTTCCATTATAGAACTGCATATTACCTCCAGACTTATCCCCTTCATAATCTTTCTTTTGCAATTGGTTGTTGTAATTATTTCTTGGCCTGTAATCTTTTGGTCCACCAAAATCATTTTGGTTATCATTTTTGATGCCATTGAAGTCATTTCTCATTCCATTAAAATCATTTCTGGGTCTGAAGTTCTTATTACCCATACCATTTCTGGGAGCAAAATTTTTTGGACCACCAAAATCATGCAGCCCATTATTATAGAAGGGGATTTTACCAAATTGTTCATTCCGGTCTAGTCGTTGTCTAAAACTGGAAGTAATTATTCATATAGCAACCTGAGTAACTGAGCATGACATTTAAGTTTTAATGCAAAATAGTTTTCAACTGATTAATGTTACTGACAACAAAGTTTGAAATTTCAACCATTTTTAAAAGGACGAGCTCTCAATTTTATTAATATTCTGCTGTAAATAATGAATATTTTAATACATACCATTTTACTGCAACCGACAACTTTATATCCCACCTTTACATTTATCATTATGATTTTAAGTGTAATATAAAAATAGTATATGACCTGGTGTGTTCACTGGGCTGCACTAATATAATCTTGGGTCAATAGTGATGGTATTTCATTTACCATTAATACTTTAAGATTGCTTATTAGCAATGTGAAGTACATTAATATATTTAAAATGAAAAAAACGTTAAACACCAAATAATTTAACAGTTATGCACAATAATTTACAAAAATGAATTAGAATAATTTAGAAAGCACAATTCAAGTGTGTGTTATGTAAACAGGCAATTATATGCCAGTTATATGATTGTAAATAAACAGCAGATGAAGTGTCTTAAGATTCAGAACAGAATCCTTTATAATTGGCTCCAAGATTAAAATTATATTATATATTTACATCACTTATTTGTCATATGAGTTTTTTTTAATAATAACTCAATTTTCGACATACTTTCGCTTTTTAAAAATTTTTTAGGGTGTAAATTGTGTGTAATTAATTATTACTTTTCATAAACTTGTATTATCGTTTATCTGTCTAATAAAACAGTTAAATGTGTAAAAAGTTTTAAATTTCATTTAGGCAGATCATTTCTTTTATTAAATAATGATGATAAATATAAAACCATGATATATTTAGGCAGTACTAAACGAAGCATAAAAATAATCATTCTATATAAGCAGAATATTTTCCTAATAATCAAAAAATATTTAACTTCTAACCATATTTTGATACAGATAATTTTAACCACAACATATTATTTCAATTGTAAAGTTACGTCACATATAAGCGACTTCAATAAAATTAAATTTCTTTATATATAAAAGAGAAAAGGTGTGTCAAATAAAAAAACAAACTGATTAAGAAAGATTGATATGGGAGAAAACGAGAGCTTTAAAATTAAGATTTTTTCAAGAAAAACTCAAATTTCTTTGTATTAAAATCGAAGTATTGATTAATAGGAAGCGGTGAGTATTGATTTTGGCTAAGTTGCGTCCATTCACAGCTGTGCGAAATGCATAGCACACAAAATGGCCGCCAAACCTATTCCGACCCGATGGTTGTAATAAGTCCAATACTTGATCAATAACATATCTCATAAGTATTCTAATAAATCTAATACTTACATAGGGTGCTGGTTATGAAAGCTGTTGTACTGCATTTTTCTGTTTAAGCTTTTTCGTTGTCTAGCACCTACGTGGTCGAGATTCGTGAACGCTTGAGTGGGTATCTGGAACACGCGATTTTCGAAATTTTCTTATTTATTTATATTTAAAACTAAGGAAAACATTTATTTCTGCTTAAGGGTAAAACAAACTCACCTCTCTATTGAGAGACTATAACAAATTTGCTATTTTTCATTCACTTGTGACGACCTTACAGACCCGGCGAACGAACAACTCGATAATGGAAATATAATGGCCGACGGAACCGGATAAAAGATTAAATCAGTGTTGCCCTATGCAAATATTTCGTAACGCTGAAAATTTTCAGACCAATTCATGGATTTTTTATTTAAATAAAATATTTAATTGCAAAACTTTTAAAATCAGTGCATCTCTATATCTTTAGTTTGATTTCTAATATATGTTTATTTAAACATGAATTTTCGTACCATATCAAGAGCATATATCATATTAACATGATACATTTATGATGACCTTTTCTCAATATTCTTGTAGGTTTGCATCCATAATGCCTAAAATATATAAGAATTTAAAAAAATCTTTTTAAAGCACCTGCAACAAATATTTCACATTTATAATCACAAAGTCTAATGCGCATCATCTTTGTTTTTTTAAAATCCCAATTACTTTCGTAAGTTATAACTCATATGTTTGTGCTAGCAGTAAGTAGAAGTACATGTTTAATATATTAGCTGGTACATACCAGGTTTAAACAGAAACAGAACATTTACGTTTAACATTTCTGTTTAATACAGTAAGGACAGTCGATCTTGCAGAAGGATGATATATAAATATAATATAATTATCTTATTTTATTATATTTATACAGGGTGACTGGTGAATTACTATCAATATTTAAGGAGAATAGTACATGATTCTCATTCGAATTGTGTAAAAAAAATAGGTACTTAATTTTTGACCAAATTTCCGAATAAATAAATAAAGTGTGGACACGTTTCAAGTGTGTGTGTGTGTGTGTGTGTGTATACCTAATCTGTAGGGTGTTCACACGATGCGTAATTAATTACACAACTTTTGGTTAACTTTACTTAGAAGTTTATTAATATTTATGTTATATTAATTTTTATTTTGTCATATATGATCGTCAAATATCACGTCCTCAAGTATCGATAGTAATTCACCAGTCACCCTGTATTTATTGAACTCATTTAAGTACTTGTCGTCATTTTAATACATGCTAGAAGTATATACCGCTTAAAAAAATACATTTACCACGACAAATAAGTTGCATGGCTACAATTTTTTTTATATCTCTGATCCCTACTAATATTATAAATGCGAAAATAACTCTGTCTGTCTGTCTGTTACGCTTTCACTCCTAAACCACTGAACTGATTTTAATGAAATTTTGTACAGGGATAGAGTTGACCTTGAGAAAGAACATACGATAGTTTTTATTCCAGACTTTTGAAAGGTTCTCTTTTAAACGCGATATATCCGAACTCCACGCGGGCGAAGCTGCGGGCGGAAAGCTAGTTAATTATAAATAAGGTTTATAAATTCCAAAAAATGTAAATATATATAAAAATTAGCAAAATATCTATGTGTATATTGAAACCATGTTTTGGAGATGTAACTATGCGATTTTATTATATTACGGTCATCACTGTTGCCGTAAAGTTCAAATTAATCAAAATGTCGGGAATATGAAATGATAATATAAGAGCATCTTGTTGTTATATCCGAAAAACATAATTGAATTTCATATGTGAAAATCTTAGATATCTTAAATAGGAGAATATTGCTATTGTCGGTTTTTTTCCTATATTAGATATCTAAGACATTTAAGTTTTTTCCAATCTCATACGAGTTTAGGCCACCAAAATGCTTTTTGGAAAAACTTTATTCAGCCTGGATAAATTGATATGTTTCACCCTTATAAAATTTGTAGCCACTGAACAAGATTTTTCTTTTAAATAAAAAAAGGTAAATAATCGGTAATTATTCCAAACTGTCATTCTGTTCTTCCGAAGATATTCCGTCTTTCACAGTTACAATCGAAATTTCATCGCAGTCGTCGAATAAGAATCAAATGTCAATACTTGTGACTTGCGCACAAATTAATGTTTTTAATAAGTGCCCGAAAATGAGACGATAATTTAAAAATGTTATTAAAATAAAAGATCATGTTATATTCTATACTAAAATAGATTTAACAAATTAAAGTGTTATTCAGTTATTTAGTTCATCATATAATATTTACATTTTTGGTATTTATTTACCTGCTGGAACTTGGAGGTATCACCGATTTAAATTGGTTTTTGAGGTAATGAATAGTGGAATTTGGATTTTTATTTATTAATTTTAGATAATCATTTTTACTAATAAATTTAACCGACAATTAAATACATCTTATTAATATTATAATTTTTTTTATAATATAAACTTATTAAATATAAAATTATCTTAGACATTTTGTGATCTTTACCAAATGGGCATTTCAGTGATTCATAATTAGTGTTATATTTTATTGTGTATAATATTGCCTAATATTTCAAACTTTATTTTACATATTAATGAATCTTATTTAAGTTTATTGACATATATTTTAATGTGTTTGTATAATGTTGTAGTTTTAAATTACAACAATGGATTCTATTGAGGATGTAGCTTTAAAAGATGCTGTCTCAGACCATCTGTATCCAGCTTTGTTCCAGTGTTTCACAATTATTATATGCGGGTAAGAATTATTTCTGAATTAGAAGAATACTTAACATTTGAGAAGAGAATGAATTATTCATAATAATGGTTTTTTTAAGGTACATTGCTGGAAGACTCAATGTCGTTTCAAAAGTTGAATCTAAGGGTATTGCAACATTTGTTGGTACTTTTGCTTTACCATCACTTATTTTCCTATCATTAGCCAGATTGAATTTCACTATGGTTAACTGGACATTTCTACTAGCAATACTTGTATCAAAAGGACTTGTATTCTTCTTTGTGATTATAGTGACTGCGGTTGTTTCAAAACCTATGAATTTAGGACAGGCTGGTATATTTGCAGTATTCTGCACACAGAGTAATGATTTTGCTCTAGGATACCCCATAAGTAAGTTGTTGAACTCGGATTCCTTGCCTTGCTTTGTTGATGATGCTATTGAATTAATTCTTTTTTAGTCAATGCGATATATGAAAAGACACATCCAGAGTATGCTCTATACCTGTACCTGATGGCACCAATATCCCTTGCCATTCTTAACCCAATTGCTTTTGTGTTGATGGAAATATCTAAGCAAAGAGAGAACCCGCAAGCATTAGATAATGAACCAATGGGGTATCAAAAGTTCAAGATGGTGGTACAAATAGTAAAAGGAATTATATTCAACCCAGTCCTGTCTATGACAATTTTAGGCATTATTGGTAATATAGCTTTTAAACACCAAATCTCTATATACATAGAAGGTTTATTAGATGTAAGTTTAACCTTCACTTTACTAATTTTTATAATAGTTAATAAGCTAGTAAATCACTTCAGCTTATTCCTTGCTGTATAATCTTTATTTGCTATTACATTCTAATCTTCTTATTAACTTTTAATAACCTAATTTATAATAATTTTATATTTAATGAGTGCCAGTGATAAATTGATAAACACTGAGACCAAAAATGAGAAATTTTGCATGGTTTTATTTGACTTTCTACTAAAGATTTTTTGACATATATTACATTGTTATGTTATTACAGGTATTTGGTCAGTCTTTCTCAGCGGCAGCCCTATTTCTGTTGGGTTTGCGTATGGTGGGCCAAATAACTCGACTAAGAGGACCAGCTTTGCTTCTGCCATGTGTCTTGATTATGGTTAAATTGTAAGTTCATTTTTTAATAAAGAAATAACGATATCTGTAATTGCAGCAATTATCTCTATATTATATTATTAAGTATTATTTTTAATTATTATTATTAATTGTTTCTATTCTACTATTAGATATATGTATATGTAAGTAATTATCTTCTACATTAGATAATCCAATTTGAATGGAGTTTTCTCATTTAGAAATATACATGTATATTGCAGTGAAAGTTTATTTATGTATTGTATTCATTTATATTGAATTTATAATTATACATATATATTATGTCCAATGTGATTATTATACTATATTTTTTGAAAATAACTAATGTATTTGTTAACAGGATCATCTTGCCAGTGGTAATGCGTGAATGTGTTAGTATGTTTGATGCCGGTGTAAACCAAACGGAGACTCAATCACTATCAACATATGCTTTCCTCTATGGCACTATACCGACGGCACCAGCTGTTTTTGTTTTCTCAAACTTATACCATTTGGAGATTGACTTGGTGAGTTTATTCATAATTGTATTGAAAGTAGACATTCCAATATTTATATATTGTTTTTGTAAATGTCGTTTTTGGAAAATTTTTCAAGTTTTAATAAAAATTCAATTTTATAACCAGTTTAGTAGAGGCCGTCGAAAACTGGTTTTGCGAATGGAATTTTGAAAATATTGTCATTCTTATGATATGTCTTTTAATTTATTAATGAGTTATTTGTACAGTTGCTTTTGTTTTTTAAAATTATATATTTTTTATAACTGTAAAGAAATTTCCAAAAACTATTAAAAAGTTTACTGGAAACTAATTTTTAATTTTTTTTTAAATTGTCACACAGCAACATATTTTTAATGTTAAATATTCAATGATTAAATCGTATTTATGGATTAAAATGATACACACAAATATTTTACAATATCATTATGTAATGAAATCTAATTTCGAATATTTGTATTTTTTTATAAATTCTATGGCAATTTAAAGGTCAGGGTCAAAAAACAAGTTCTTTTACAATATTTTTTCTTCCAATATTTTTTAGTCTCAAACCTTAATGGGCCATATATTATGCAAAACATTTAAAAGGCAATTATCATAAAATGTATTCCGTATAATAGCATTCTATTAAAAAATTAAACCAATGTTATTTTGGAGTATTTTAAATGGATATACAGGGTGACTGGTGAATTACTATCAATATTTAAGGAGCATACTCGGTACATGATTCTCATTCGAATTATGTAAAAAAAAATAGGTACTTAATTTTTGACCAAATTTCCGTATAAATAAATAAAGTGTTGACACGTTCCAAGTGTTCCAAGTGTGGACGCGCGCGGCGGCGTGCTGATACAACAACACGCCGCCGCGCGAGAGTGTGTGTGTATGTGTATACCTAATCTGTAGGGTGTTCATACGATGCGTAATTAATTACATAACTTTTGGTTAACTGTACTTAGAAGTTTATTAATATTTATGTTATATTAATTTATTTTGTCATATATGATCGTCAAATATCACGTCCTCAAATAACGATAGTAATTCACCAGTCACCCTGTATAATAATTTAACATACTAAAATATTTGATAAATCTATCTTTTGATACATTTCGTTATAAATTTCAACAGAAACATTATTAAAAATAGAATTTTCCTAATCATAATGACAGACAAAAGAAACAATCGATTTCTAATAAATTATTGCAGAAAAAATCTTTCGCAATTCAGAATTAGAATTTTTAAAATAATTACGCCACTCAGTCATTGCTCCACGTATGAAAAAATATTTTGTCAAAAAATCGGATTACGTCACAAGTAAAATTCACTTCGAAAAATAATATGTACCTCATCAATTTTATAAAACAAAAAACATCGCCGCGTCTGTCTGTCTGTTCGCGATAAACGAAAAAACTACTGCATTGATTATATCAAACAGTTTTGACCACGCAATATCGTGACTGATGACAATTTGTTATTTCTTTTGTTTTCTTTAGTTTATTAAATCTTATTACAAATCATTTTAAACTTTTAGTCATATTTCTTTTTTGTCTCCAATTTTCTTTGTCTTAATTTACCTCTAAAAGTACTTACTCAACCAATTTTACGTAACATGGGCTATTTTATATTTTTTGTAAAGAGCTCGTGCGAAGCTTCGGCGGGTACCTAGTTGATTGTATTTCAGAGTTTAATATATGTATTTATAATATTTAATTATAGATGGCGTCATCAATGGTAATATGTACGTTCCTGTCAGCTCCGATAACATTTCTGTCCGCACAAGTGATATCTATAAACAAGGACTACGCCGACCAAATAAAGAGATTCGGCTTTGACCTCTCGATAGTATCCCTCATAGCGTCTATATGGGTCTGCATTGTGTTTACATTTACAAAGAAGTATAAGAGAATGCCACATGGATTGACATTCTGTTTGAATCTCACTCAGGTATTCTATTTTTAAAATAATATTACTTTTTTTAATGTTCCATTTTTGAATATGTTAATTTAAGATTGAAACTTTTGTCTTCTATTTATATAAATTGTTTTTATATTAAAATATATATTAATAATCATAAATAAGTCATATATAATTTATAGTAATAATATTTCAGATGTTACTAGCTGTTAGTGTTATTTGGGGTGGACCTTTAAACAACTATCCTCCGTCATGGGAAGCTACATTACAGGAGACATTACAAGTATTCAGCACATACTCTTGTCTGTTATGGACATCTATGTTGACTGTTGGACTGTTAATGCTCGAGGTAATTAATATTACAAAAAATATATATAGCAGTTTTTTTTTGTTAATGACCCAAACATATACAAGACAAACATATATTGAGAATGATATATAAAAAACATTACCATATATTTTGTTCAAAAACTATTTTCTTAAATACAACAAAGCAAAGTGTAAGCAACATCAAAATAAAGACAAACACATATTTTAAGTAGGATGTGCAAGAAATTGTAATATATGTAAAAATACTAAAATTAATTTATTATATTCATGAAAACCTGTAATGCTGAGAATAATATTAAAAAAACTCACACATTTAAATAATATCACTGAACTAATATGTTAAAAATATAACAATATATACAATTAATGTCATTGTAACTGTCTTATATACCCCCAGTATATATATTGAATTAATTTTACTATATATATATATATATATATATATGTATATTTTCTACACCCTGTATACTGTATACCAGACGCGCGGGCCGTGTTTCGTGCTCACTATAACTCCAGTACTATGTTTCGTGTCGTGGGGTGCTCCGCTGGTCATGTGTATAGCGCTCCTCTCCGCCGCTGGAGAGCGAGGGGTCTCCGGGGACGCCGCTGACGCAGTCAGATTGAGTGTACTCTTCTTTTGTATAACACGTTAGTATATTTTTTACATACAACCATATAGAACAGCTAATGTTAATACATTACAGTTGTCTATGCCTGTATCAGGTATCACTTCACTTGGTATATAGAATTTGATTTAGAATGAGACTTCGTGTGTTGTATGGGGTTGAACAATTGTTACCGACGAGCAACGCCATCTATTGGCGTAACACAACATTCTATATTTCAAAATACAATTGTGTCTTTTTCGTGGGTTTTGTACGGGTTTATATATACCTAATATTAAATGATTTATTCAGATTTCAGTTAAAACACATCCAATTGTTTTTACGTAAAAAAGAACGAAACATTCATTCAATAATTTTTGTTAGTGAAAGTAGTAAGACTGTGTTTTATAATATAGCAATGAAACTCGCTAACATCTTACTCGATATAAAACAGTGTATTCAAAATTGCAATAATTTTTAAGAACAGTAAAAATAAGTAAACCTTATTGCTAGTACTTATCTGTCTTTATATGTCTAGTTACGACTGGCTGTCTGATCCTGTACATCCGTTTCCGTCGTCGCCGCAGCCCTGTAGTGACGTCACCTCCGGACGAGTCCTCGAGCCTAGTTGACAACGCTGAGCCAGCCTCTAACACGCAGTCACTATCAAATTACGGTGATTAATACATATATTGGAAGATAAATATAAAAAATATCACTTTGAATTATGAAAGTAATTTTTATATCGTAGCAATTTTGTGTTTATATACACCAAAAGCTATGATTTCGGCTTTCTATATCTTTCATATTTATCCTGGTTAGACATAATTACATTTAAAGCTTTTTTCTCTCTCAGTTTTTTGAGACAACATTGGTTTACTCCTACAATTAATTGACTTAGTTGTAATACTAGAGTTGAGTCCGAATGATTATATAAAAGTAATAGATAAACGTGTAATCCTAATGGATATTTTGCATTTTTTCCCATGCTGCAAGAATTAGAAGATCCAGGTACATTTTATTGTAAAACAAATAATAAATTATAATGAAGTAAAATTATACAATTAAATAATGTTACCATATGTATTAAATGTTTACACAGGTTGTTACGGCACTATAACAACAACGCCGTCTCCGAATAGGAACAGTAATGGTAACTGTTGCTCCAACGATCCCAACTGTGGGAACGGAATACTCACGAACAGCGCTGACATTGAAGACATCGCTAATAATGATAGGTATTGTAAACAATATATGTGGAATAACTCACATTATACATAACATTAACATTCTATACTTATTAGAGCAATAACAAAAAGAATGTTAGATATGAATGTGATTCGAGGTAGACCTAAGAAAAGATGGATGGATTGCGTAAGGATGACATGGCTAAGAAAGGGGTAACCGATAAGATGATGATAAAGTGGGACCAGGGCAGGGAAAAGAAGAATTATTAAGAGCAATAATTTTATTGAATACTCGATAGTTGTTTAAATTATAGCTTAAAATTACTCAGGCTATCATAATCTAGCTTAAGTGATCGTTTTAAGTTTACCAAACATTAACCACCTTAAAGATTAATAGTATCAATTTATGCTATTTGCTACTCTATACCTATACTAGCCCGCAGCTTCACCCGCGTGGAGTTCGGTTATATCGCGTTTCCAAGAGAACCTTTCAAAATTCTGGGATAAAAACTATCCTATGTTCTTTCTCGAGGTCAACTCTATCTCTGTACCAAATTTCATTAAAATCAGTTCAGTGGTTTAGGCGTGAAAGCATAAAGGACAGAACGACAAAGTTACTTTCGCATTTATAATATTACTAGGGATTACAGAGTTTAAAATTGTTTCAAATTCACAAATATTAACTATGCTATCAATTATGTTATCGAGATATAACAAATGCTAAACTTTTTATGGAAATGTGTCCGTGAATAAGAATAATAATTACAAGTAAATTATCCTAAATCATATTTTTAGTACATTATACTCATATGTATATTTTTAAATTTCAGGGAATGTTTGTGTCCTTCATCGGAGCATCAATGTAACCCCGACGGCGCCCCCTGTCCCTACTTGACCCGCCTGGAGCGTGCGGCCGACTCGCTCGGGCTCCTACCACTGGAACAGACTCGAGGTCGCGGCGGGCAGATGCTCAAACACACCGTACTCATCATAGCGTACAGTCTCATGATGTTTCTGGTGAGTTCGGAATATTATGGTAAGAATATTTTGGCGCCCACTTGAAGAAATCAAAATCGAGTATTGATTTTTTTTCTGAACCAATGTGAACACTGAATGTGTATTGAGAATCCTATATTCCATCTACCATCTTCCATCATTCCTTTAGCGTGACCCAGAGCAAACGACGTGGACGTAGAAAGTTATGTAGCTCCTATTTTTTTATTTTTTCATTTATAAGTATCCTACCTCCACTAATCGCCCCCCAAAATTTGGCGACCTGGGCCGTCGCCCCATAGCCCCCCCCCCCCCCCTAACGCCGGCACTGATGAGTTGCCATAGCTGTGTCATCGATGATTGTATTTGTAATGAATACTATATAAATAAGGAATGAAACTAAAATGCAAAATTGGAAGGCTTGATTTATTATTGATATTCCAGTCCTATTCCAATCAAAACGAAACAAAAAGTATTTTTATAATGATCACTTTCAAAATGGTAATATTCAGAAAATAATCATAATACATACTATCTTTTTGTGGGCGAAAGGAGATTTAATTATATTTTCTTGCAGGGTCTGACTTATACGGCATGGAAGATCATGCGAAAGAACCAGGCCGGTGTGTTTATAGAAATAGAGTTCTTGGACACAACAGCCAGTAACGGACAGGCTTTGATAATGTTTATACTTTTTGGATTGGACCCAGAGGAAATCATCATACCAGCTATCAGATTCTTCAAAAAGAAGTGGTAAATATAATAAATATAAGAATTATATGAGAAATAAAATATTCATAGTATTTTCTTATATCAATAGTCACTATTGTTTAGTTTGATATTCAAATTTTTTTTAATTGTAGGCATGGAGAAGATACTGTTGTTCTGCCGCATATAGATGATTTGAGTTTCGAAACGAAGCACGTATGTGACCAATTCATAACACATCATTTAGAGAGGTGCAAGGAAGCTATTGCTAAAGACACCAGGTAATTTATGTACTCCTGTAAATAACATTAAAATAAACAATATTATTACAGCATTTGAAGGAGCTTATGTGTTTGTGGATGGTATTGCTAATATAGAGTAATACATAAATATTACTACTCAAATAAAATACTGTTATAGTTATCGTCACCAAAACTATAATAAAAAAAATGTACAAAAATCCACAATTTAATACGATCCTCTCAATTCAACACATCTCACGTTGAATCACACACAATAATTGATGTAACTTATACTAATTTCAAATATCACCCTCAAATATCTCTAAACACGATAGTGATCATTATTAATAATAATTAATAATAAACATTTATTGGTTATTGGTTAAAAGATTACACCCCTACAAAACAAATAACAAACAAAATAAAAACAGAGTAACACTTATCCTATATATACAAAAAAGGAAAATAAAATATCATAACAACTACAACTACAACAGGACAAATATTAAGTTAAAAATTAATAACAATAATAATAAGCGTGCAGCAGTGTAATTTAACCAAAAGGAGAACCACTCAGTAAAAAATAGAAGCAATGTTGCTTCTACAGTGATTTTCAGTAATCTTCCAATGTTGCGGCACTGACAATTACATAAAATTAATGAAAACTCAATCAATTTATACAGCTGAAGTTACTTAAAACCTCCTTTTATTACATTCTCTCATCGATATTTATCGCATTAATGCTCTGTTTCTATCAATAGATGGCGCATGCGTACATATCGCAATGTGTTCCGCGGCTCGTGCCTCGTTCGTTGGCTGATGGAGTGCGGTCTAGCGTCAGATGAACATGAGGCTGTTCAATACGCGAGACATCTATTGGACGGACGACTCATACAGCATGTGCACAACAAACATCACTTCACTAACTCACCACTGCTATATATGTTCAGATAGACTTACATACATAATATGTTATATATTGGAATCTTATGGACGTAAATTAACATTGATTTATATATTTTTTCTATTTATATCGTTTAATCATTGATGGAGATTACATATTTGGGACTTTATACACTTGTCTGTAACTTCAGACATTTTCGACGAGTGTTTTCACTGTATCAAAAGAAAATTTGTATGGATTCATCAAATGTTATAGGTAGATTTTTAAACAAGTTTCTGTACTCCGTAACAGTTTCATTTGTCTAATAGAGGTTTATTAAAGTTAGTGAGGGTAGAGGGTAATTTGTCCAGTTCAAATATTCCTAGAAGTAGTATAAAGATTTTCTGATCAAATATTTGAACAGTGACAGTTTTTAGTATTGGGGTTGTTATTTGGTTTAAGAGTATGCTTTATACAATATGTAGAATTAGATTAGACTCTTTAACATTATATTATAAAAGGTATTATTTTTGCTTAAGCTTGCCTTCTTGTTTACAATGTATTTATGAACATATTGCTGCCTGTAGTTACTTATAGCTTGAAAATGTATATTTTGTAGAAGTCTGTAGCCTTTATTATCTGCCACTATTGCAATTTCATAATTTCTTAATTAGATTAATTATTTATATGAAGTACTGCTTAATAGACATACAGTATGTATGAAGATAAATATATAATTTAACATTTATTTGAACAAAATAGAACAATAGACTGTCAAATAGGAATTATTTGTAAATCTTATTACAGACTGTGTATTTTTATTACGTTAATATATAATTTAGGTGTTATATAGATTAACACAAATTAAATAATACAATCTTTAATTATAAACTTCACCTTGTTTTTCCTTACAAAAGTGATTTAAGACATATCATGACATTGTAACATCTATATTTCACTTTCTTTTCATGTAGTTCAAAATCTTTAAGACTAGATATTTAATCTGAGTTTGATTAAAGCTATATTCATCATATAAAAACATAGACCATTGATGAACAACAATAATGTTGCTTTTATTTTATTTGCTATTTATGTCATAGCTCCCATACCAATAAAAAAAATTACATCTTTTGTCTCTGATTAGATCTAATAAACTGTAAGCCATAATCCGAAAGTGCATAAAAACTTTTTATTACAAATTAATTATTATCTATTTTAATAAAGTATTTCGGAGATTTATTCAATATTTAATAGTTAAAAGTTTCATCAAAGTTGCTTTTAACAGACTATATTTAATAAGTTCAGCTCTCTTTGAAACCAAAGGTATATTTTTTAGTATAAATAAATATACTTTTAAGTTACTTTTTCTCACAATTTATAAGTGTCACTTCTCCTGCAAAATAAAAATAGTATCACCAACTAGCAAATTTGTTATTTAAATTAATTTATGTGATATGAAATGGCTGTTTGCTTTAAGCTTAGATTGTTTGAAATATTATATTTTAGGTAATTTATCATATAATCATATATGTCTATATACCTGTATCACAAAATATATTTTAAATATCATTGTTATTGTATTCTATATATAAATATAGTTCTATTTTAGAATAGAAGAATATACAATGTTGCAAATTATATAACTGGTTTCATTTATGATTTCTTTACCATACTAAAAATATTTATGAAATTTTCATATACAGAGTGTACATTACTTATAAATGGTGGTGTAATTAATTAATTATAAAAAATATATATTTAAATCAAAGAAGTTAATGCTGTATATAGTTTATTCTTCATCTTCTTGTTCATCTTCATCGCCTTCATCCTGTTCTGGCGTCACCCACCAGGTAAGTAATCCTAATCCCGGTTCATTAATTCCACCAATTAGTCTATATGGTGCCACGGCTTGAGTGGGACGTTCAGATCCTGGTGGACCACTCGGCAAACTTTCTTCAAAGACCTCACTTGTTACTCTAAACCTAATAGATTCACCTAAAACATATATATTTTAGATACAAGAGTTTCTACTTCTTTCATTTTGATACAATATAGTACAGAAATAGTTTTGTAATACCTGAATCCATGAATAAATCATGTTTTTCTCCATCCTCTTTGGGATATTCCCACACCCAAGCTTGATCTGTTTCATCAAACCTAGATGGATGTTGTAGTGCATTCACAGGTATTAAAATATCATCAAAAAAGCCCATTGTAACTGAAAATTTTGAAATTAAATTAAGCAAATTATCTCGAACAAAATACACTAAGTAATATACATTTGCAACCTACCATGCACTCCATCTCGACTACAACTTCTTATTTTTCCTACAAGTATTTCCTCAACAAGTGGACGAAATACAATATACCTAAATATCACTTCAGTGTGTGACGATCCGTCACCAGGAAATATGTATGAGTGACCGATATTGGTTATATCAAATAATGCTATACAGAGGCCCACGTTTAAAACGACCTGAAATAATTAAAAATATTCGTGAAAATTATTTTTTGTTTTCACTAGCGTTGTACATTAAATAAGAAATGAAAGGAAAGTTTTGAAATATAACTCTATGTCAAGCGCACAATATAGAAATATTCTTTAATAAAAGAACAACAACAGCATTTTGTAAACACAGGTTAGAATACCTTATTAGCAAGTTTTCTATTTAATAAAGTTGTTATTGACTCTGTAAGACTTTGGTGAAAGTGTTCAGGTGTAACTCTTAACACATCTTTCATTTCTGACAGTACAAACATTGTGTATAAATATATTTTTGTAATTTTAATATTTTAAAAAACATAAACATTGCCGCTGATCAAATGTTAACTGACAATGACGTCTGTCTTTCCTAATCACAGCGTGATAACAGACCAAGATATAAGTTTGAATAGTTATTGTGAAAGTAACATTTTTGTTTTCTTGTGTTTTAATTTAAGGCTTTAATAAAATGTTTTAAATTTTAATATCATTATTTTTTACAATAAATCAAACAGTAAACTAAAAAACAAACAGCTTTTATTTATGTTCAAATAATAATCTCAACATAATTATATAAGTCTAAAACTGTTCATTGTTTCATTTAATCTTTAACACCTTAACTTATATGACAATACATAATTCGTTATTGGTTTTCTAAAGTTAATATCTTGGTAACGATATTTTTTATGATAATGCTGCTTATAAAAAATAAAAAACTTATTTGCAGTTGTCACTAGTCATACCATAGGTATAGCAGCCATCTTACTTATAACTGAGTATCAACCATCAACCAGAGCTATCTATCAATGTCTTGATAATTATTGTTTATTATAATGTAAAAACATAACAAAGAAATATTGTGATTGCTAGGTTCTCAATTAATGTTTGTTTTGTGAGCTGCTCTGTAATTAACAGCAACAGAGACTATCATTAGAATTTTTTTTCAATATGTACGTTTTTGTTTTTCAACAAGTATAATTTAAAAATAAACCTCGTCTTGATTATTCCTAATACAATAGAGAGTGTCACTGAGATAGCAAATATGACAGGTACATATATACCACTGGAAAATAAAAATGCTCTTACATAAAATAGATCGATGAGTTCTTTTCTTTGGCAGGAAGAAGAGATAGATCACGATCTCCGATGAGAGGAGATAATCCTATGCGTCGGAGAGAAAATAAAAATGGGGACCAAAAAGCTACTGAAGGCATATCGAATGTTATAAATCCTATGATGATGGCAAATATGTACCCTCAAGGTGATAAATAGCATGTGAATAATACACATTAGTCAGTCATATTTCTCTTTCTGGCACCTTGTAATCATTACTTCAATAATAATTAATATTATTGCTTAAAAACTAGATCTTTTTCAATAATTTCTTTTTGTAATGTCTTTTAGTCGATGAACTAAAATATTGAAGTCTTGTTGCTATTTAACTTCAAAAAATTGCTATTGTGATAAGGCAATGAATATGGAACATGCATAGTATTTTAGAAGAGAAAAATATCTTCACAAAATATTTTTGAATTTGCTCATGGTTATGAAATCCTACAAATAATTGATTTTTTTTTATCTTGATTCATTACTTCTTCACAAAATATTTCTTTACTATTTCATAGAAACTAAAACATATTTTAAACTCTCAGTTTTTGTTTTCACGCGACAAAGGCTCCATTTTGATTAAGTTACATTCTTATAAATGTGGTTTTCCATACTTTATACATATCAGTCAACTTTTTATTCTCTATCTTAGAATATAAATTTTTAACTGAATTTAAAGTAGAATAAATGAAATGAAAACTATTAGCCCAAGTAGGATTTGAACATGCAACTATACATATATTGCTTCACTTGCTTTAATTATTAATTTACAATATTATTGTATTTAACTAGGAAATATGATGATGGGTGGCATGTTTAACATGATGATGCCCAATCCAATGATGGCTGGAGGGATGATGCCTTCTAGCGGAATGGAAATGATGCAGAGCACTGGTATGGAGATTATTTCACAACCACCAATAGAAATTACCGCTATGGGAACACAACCTTTAGCTGCTCCGTCTTTAACACCTTCAATGGAAATGGGTATGATGGGTGGTGTGATGATGGATCCATCCATTATGGGTATGTTTCCAAATATGGGTAATGAAATCGTGCCAGAGAAGAAGGAAATTGTCCTTAAACATAGTAAGCTATTAGCACCAGCCCCAGGAACGCCACAACCTCCTCGAAGGACCAGACCTCCGGGATGTCGTACAATCTTTGTTGGTGGTTTACCAGAAAAAATAAGAGAGAATGCTGTAAGAGAAATATTTGAGCGTTATGGAAGAATACAGATATTAAGGTTGTCCAAGAAAAACTTTTGTCACATACGCTTTGATAGAGAGAGTTGTGTGGATGCAGCTATGGTGATATCGGGGTATAGGATTAAAGTTTTGAACAAGGAAGGCGATAAGGAAGAAGAGGATAATAATGCATCAAGTGGCTGGCTTCATGTTGATTACGCTTTGGTAAGAATCCTACTAATATTATAATTGCGAAAGTTTATGAGTGTGTGTGTATGTTTGTTACTTCTTCACGCTGAAATGGCTGAACTGATTTTAATAACATTTTGTATATAGGAAGCTGACGTCCAGGAATAACACAGGCTACTTTACATCCCGAAAAATGTTCGACTTTTCTTCATATAAGCGAAAAACCATATTTACTTACTCGAGAACTCAACTCCTAGCCAAAACGACATTATGGCTATGTACCTTTTATCGGTCTATGTAGGCAGGATCGACAACCAATAAGCATTCCTTTTGTTAAAAAAAAAATAGTTATGATAGACAATATCTATAGACAACAGTTTCTTTCTGTAGTTAATTTGTTAAATACTGCCAAACTATTCATGTTAACATAATTCTTAATTTTTAATAACATATCTGTTGTTTTGTAGTTGTTGGGTATTCCCCCTTTGTGGGTTTTTTTTCTATATTACTAATGCCGAAATTAACGCGGACGAAGTCGCGGGCAAATCTAGTATTCTTATAATATATAAATTACATGCCTATATTGCTATGGCTATACCTCTATTCCTTTTTCACCCTGTGACTACATGGCTTGCTTATCATTTTATTTATTAAAATTATTAATTTCTTTAGTTGGGTATAACCTTTGAGGACTCTTATACATATTTTATCAAATACTTGTTGATTCTCTGTAGAAATTTGTTAATATAGCCATATTGGAATTAAAACAGCAATATATATTGTTTATTGTGTTTATAATTTAGTACTATATATTGAGACTATAATACGTGATAGAAATTCTTAGAACGGAAAAATTATGTTTATAATCAAATTTTTTTCAGAGTAGGGATGATCAGAATGAATATGAAAGACGTCAGCGTCTAGCGCTGCGTGTTCAACAACAACAAATGCAACAGATGTCGGCACAACACGAGGCTTTGAGTAACAGGAACGCTACGTACAGAAGGTCCCCTTCACCAGTCAGAATACAACCCTTCTCAGCGACAGCCATCGTACAGTTGACAGAGAAAATTAAAAGTGAAGAACATTTCGCTACCACACTTCCTGTACGTTATGAAATTTATATAGTTCTTTTCATAGTCTAGTGACAAAAATAATGTTTTAGAAAACTTCCAAACTAAGTTCCTCAACAAATTAGGTGAAATTGACATCAATTCTGATGTCTTTCTGAAAGAAGTTCTGAATAAATTCCTAAACTAATTGTTTATAATTAAATATTTTTTTGCAGACTTTGATATCGTGGCTGGAACGTGGGGAATGTTCTAAAAAGAGCGCCAATCAATTCTATTCTATGATCCAAGCTACAAATTCTCACATTAGACGACTTTTCAATGAAAAAATGCAGGCTGAAGAGGAACTACAGGAATGCAAAGAGAGAGTGAAAAATAATATACAGAATGTGATCGATCAACGTGAGTACCTTGTCTTAATATTGATATTTTGGTCATTATCATGTACCGATGTGGATGATACTCATTAATGTCTAGTCAGAGCTCTTATCTCTGAGGTAAGATCGTAAAGGGGATGCCAATGGCGTAAGTTATAGTTTTTGTATTTCACCATTTTCCGAACTGATCTCCAGTTGAAATGTCATTATTGTCGTTTTAATATAACACAAAATGGTTAAAAACAAAAACTCCATCTGGGAATATTAAATACCACAAATAATCTCAGACGACGTTATGAAATTATGCATAAAGTATAATTTTGATTAAAATAAAAGCGGCGACGTTCCCCATAGCTAGTGGTCGGTCGCTCGTCGCCAGCTGCCATCAGGTTAACACTTAAAGCTTCTATATATCGAATGTTGTAAGTTGCAATGTTTTAACAAACACATGTTTGTTGATTCATTGGTCGCTCTATGGTACGTGCAGGCGTGGTGAGGTCCGAGACATCTATTATATATATAAAGGCGGGTACATAACGTAAGTCGATCTCTAAGGCTGGGTGCTCACAGTCGTGACGGTATGTTCATAACTGTATCCATGCTCTAAACATATTTTTTGTGACACTCAGTCGAACAGGTGGGGAAAGTGTTTAACGCAGCGACCCACCAGCGTGTGTGGGACCACTTCACTAAACCACAAAGGAAGAATATAGAAACGTGGCAGAAAATGACGCAGGTAACTAACGAATGGGTTCTATATTCCATAGAAATTCAGACTTTTCAGATTATCTCTGACGCTCTAGCTGACTATTGACGACTAAAACAATAGTCGACCTACGTCTATCGAGAGTTTTCATTATCATTTTGTTAAACCTAAACAATCTCTATGTATATTTTTTTTATCTACGCCCGTATACTATGACTCACTAGCTCTATAATCGACCGGTACTTGGTGATGGCAGTTTCAGGTATAAGTATGTAGCAAGTTACTAATATTTTTGTAATTGTATTTAGTTGTAACATATAACACGTTTATATCTACCATTATAGGTGGTAGTTGTAATATTAACCTTTGTATATGTATTTAGTATGCATAACTTTTGCGACACAGTCAAAACCGTTTATATTATACCAATAAATATATGATATAGAAGCATATTGCTTAAAATATATTTTAATGTTGAACACCAAAGTAAATAAGTAATAATTTCTATGATCTCAAAACTCGGTGCGTTAATCCAAAAAAAATAAGAAAAGTGGGACTCACAGAAACTTACGTCTTACTATAATCACGGAAAATTTAGGGAAAAATAATATAAATTAACTAAAAATTTTAAAAGTTTATTACCAAAAAACACTTTCTTAACCAAAATTGCTTTACATTTCTTTGGAAAGGGCGAAAATTATCATTGGAAAATTACCCGTGTAATGTTGCCATTTAAGAAACAATTAAACGGTTTTGACTGAATTAATTAAAAAAAGAAAAATTTTGCAAAGTGCAACATTTTATATTTCGTCATCACACTTGTAGGAGTTCAATACATTGAAGGAGGAGTTCAGTGAGAGGTTCTTTAATGATGATTCGGAATACAATGGCACTAGTAAGGGAAGTTACGATAGCAATAACGAAGATATCAACCAGTTAAAGGTAACATTTATACATATAATATATAATCTTGTATAGTCATAAAATAATATATGTTTTTCATTATAAAAATACTGGGAAGATCAGAGGTTTGGAAGATAAAAAAATATGAGTTATAAAAATTTATAATATGCACATTTCAGCGAGAAAATGAGAGTTTACAATTCCAATTGGAAGCGTACAAAAATGAAGTAGAAGTTATCAAGAACGACGCACAAAAAGAAATGGAGAAATTTAAAGCACAATTTATAGCCCGACAAGCATTGTTAGGGGCAATGGAAAACAAAGTATGTACCCCAAGAAATAGATTTTTAGAACCACATTTTATTTAAAATTATTATATAAAAAAAATAGGGCACATGATCTTAATAGGGATGACATACCAAAAATTATTATAGTCCAAATGTATACATACAAATTAAATATAATACCAATAATTATCAATAGAACCCGGTACGCGTGCGAAGGCTTGATTCAATTACTAGTTATAATAATAATATATTTTCACCCCAGCCTCCCCTACCGTCGTCAGTGTCGGAACAGCCCCCTCCTCCCCCTCCCCTGCCTGATGACGCGGACGACTCCCTCAAGACGGCGACCGAGGTCGCGCCAGGCGAGGCCAGGCTTATAGGAGTCATGTCAGCCTTCTTACAGGTTGGTTACATAAGAATTTAACTTCCAAAGTGTCTTGGAAACATAAATAGCGGGTTTATTCGGCTAAATTACCTATATATATCCCTACTAAAATTACAAATGCGAAAGTAACTCTGTCTGTCTGTCTGTTACGCTTTCACGCCTAAATCACTGAACTGATTTTATTGAAATTCGGTACAGAGATAGAGTTGACCTTGAGAAAGAACAGAATAGTTTTTATCCCAGACTATTGAAAGGTTCTCTTGGAAACGTTATATAACCGAACCCCAAACGGGAGAAGCTGCGGGCGGAAAGCTAGTATATATATAAGGAAACATTCACATATAACATCAAACGAATTTCAAGATTTTAACCCCTCGAAATGTCTTTATACATTCGGTTTCTACCCTCCTTTTCTTAGCGTGTGACGTATTTATAGGCCCCAAACTACTAAACGATTGTTTATTTCAAACATGTTATTGGTTCAGTATAGTCTAAATATGTTTTATTTGTAGGTACACCCACGAGGAGCGAGTCTGGACTACGTGGTGTCGTACGTACGAGCGTTATTCCCAAGTGTAACACAAGCAATAATACACCATGTATTACAGAAATACGAAGACGTGTTTCAAAAGTCAACCAGCGGGGTCGGAGCTAATATTGAGAATCGTTGGACCTTTGTAGCGTTCAATAATAAGACGTAGTATATGTACTTATGAAACTGAGGAAAATTTGACATTATTTCTTTACTGATAGTTAACATTTGAATGTCGTTTGAACAATTATTACTTGTGATATCAATACTTATAAGTATGTTTTATATGACAGGTTCCAAATTATGAGATATATATGTATATAAATACTGTGGATGTGTTTTATTATGTTGGCACTATGACCATATATGAATTAACATTTTTTCTATATAATTTTTTAAGGAGCCTTATTCCACTGGAATTTATTAACAAAATCTCGTTCCATAGATAATTTATAGTATCTGTAATCTACTTGAATAAGATAATAATACTGTCCAATATTTTAAAACTGGCTGAAACTAAAATATTTGTTTGTAATTCGAATGTTTCTGACTCCAAGTCTTGTCTTCAACCAGATTGAATTTGACATTATTATGTAAACTGTGTACACAGGTTTTATAAAAGAGGCCAAGTGTAGCATTCTTTGCGTACAGGTTCAGTCTTGATTTATAATGTTCAACGTTACTTCCAGTAACGTCTTACAAAGTGGCCGAAGCCAGTATTCATAGTTTTCAAATACAAAATACTACTTAAATGTTGCCACAACAAAATTACAATGGTTCAGTATTATAATAAAATATTATCTAATATATAAAATTCTCGTGTCACAGTTTTCGTGCCCATACTCCTCCGAAACAACCTGACCGATTTTGATGAAATTTTTTGTGCTTATTCGGTAGCTATGAGAATCGGCCAACATCTATTTTTCATCCCCCTAAATGTTAGGGGTAGTCCACCCCTAAATTTTTTTTTTTTATTTTTTAGACAAAATTTTTAATTACTATTTTTTTATGATACAACGTACAAAAATACATACAATCCTAAATTTTCACCCTTCTACGATCAACCCTTATTTTTTAATAGCTATTTTAGTAATTTAATCATTTTTCATCTCCGGTCGATAACTGATTAATCGTCATTTAATAAGTTATCCCCGCCAGATATCTACAGGTGTCACTTCTGACCCAGTAAACAGCACGGAGTAGGGATGAGAACGAAGCCGGTCTTCTGTTTCTCTCACACAATTAGACTTCTCTCACTCCCTACACAGTTGTCGGCCATCGTTATTGTTTGTGCATCAAGTGTAGTAGTAACGTTGACAATTATTATTTTGCTAGCTCAGTGTAACTCTCATATTAACTATTAATCATTCCTAATCACTTCAAAACACGGAGATTTATGGCTTTAATAGGTAAACTCCAAAAATATAAATAAAAAAACGTAACAGATATTTCTTGATTATAGGGCGAAACGAAGTTCGCCGGGTCTTCTAGTAATATCATAAAAATAATTAATAGTGTATTATAGTTAGTACAACAAAGATGGCGCCACTTGTAACTTCACGGCTAAGAAATATTCAATACATTACTCTATCCCAAGTCTTGGTTGTTCTGTTGTTCTTGTAATTGTTGTACCATCAGTAAGTATTCATTAGCGGCCTCTTCTAGGTCTTTATCCGTGGGGGCGGAGTCTCCTTCCGTATGCCCCACGTCCCGGTCCTGCCTCATCTTGAGACGTAATTCTCTCATGCGCGCCTCCAGGATTCGCTCGCGTTTGTTCTCGCGTTCTAGGATCTGTTTTTTAATGATTTGCTAAGAATTGGAAGATGCTGCCTATGATTCACTGCATGAGTTTCAATTAAAATAACTAATGAATGGTTGTTTTTTTTGGTTGAGTATTTTTTTTTTGTATGACAATTTACTGTTAAATTTCTGGATCTTATATTGAATGGTTTTTTTTTGCATTGGTACGATTCTATCTATGATTTACAATTACAGCAACTAATTATTTTATTGTTGAGTAAATTGTTCCTATGGTACTCTTAATATAAAACTTCTCATCATTTAAATTGGAATTTTTTATATATAAGGAAATGTCATTTTTATTTACTCACATGTGTCAAAAGTTGTTTGTCATTTTTGTCAGCTGTTCCGAGGTTCTCTGACAGTTCCGCCAAGTAGACCGTACCTTTACTACTGCCGCACGCCACTAGAAGGCCCTGTTAATGTTGACGATTAAAAAAGATTATTAAAACTAAGTTTAAACATTTCCACAGATAACACATTCATTATATTGACATCAATACGCCTCAAAAAAGATTTTAACTGACATGAGTAATCTCTTTAATTTTAAAATCGACATCATTATTTGTTATTTTTCGTTTAATATAGGCGAAGCTAAATTAACAGTTAGAATCAGATATATGTATATAGCAGATATCATCATCCTTCTCTTATAATGTATTTATGTATGCTGACCCCCTCATGAGGTCGTACTCTCAACAAGGGCTCATCACAGAGCTGCGCCGTGACGACGGGAGCCGCTCGTCGTCTGAGTAGGTCCCAGCACGACAGACAGCCGTCCCACTGACACACCAGCATCAGGGAGAACCTGGATATACATATATATATGACTCTTTGGATAATTAATTTGTGAAAACGAATTAATTATTATTCTGGTGTTGTAATTTGGTCCTTGGACTAATTATATCCGATTTCAACTATTATTCAGTTTAAAAGAACTTCATGCCTTGAATTATGGCCCATCCATTTATCCATTTCTATCTTATATTCCTACATATATATATATGTATATAAGAATATTTGCTTGTGATACACGTATTTATTTGATGATTTGTATATTGTAAATGTCCTTTTATGAAAAAACAAACAAAAAGGAGGCGTTTAAAATATGACTCTTCCTGACATCTATTAGCGAATAGCGATACTACTGTTTGTTAATTGCTTTAACGACACAACAGCAGATGGCGTTGTTAAGCATCAGTAAATCATTGAATGTTTGTTTTGAGGTTCGACTAAGAAATTAATTATTGATTTTTATTGTTTTGTGTCTTCTTAACGTGTTCACTTAAAAATGCCTAATCAAAATAAAAAAAAAAAACAAAATAAACACTAATAATTCCTAAATCCCGAGCAAAGCTCGGTAACCAGATCTTAGTGTGAACTTGGAAATAATTACAATTGCACCTACCTATACTAATTAACAGTATACAGGAAAGACGTACATAATATAAATATTGTATTACTTTCTTATTTATAATTCTTTAGTATTTGGAATAACTTTCGACGGTTGAATTTTTGTGATTTCTTATTTAGAGATGAGTCATTCTAAGAAAAAAATAATCACGAAATAATTTTATAGTATTTATCAGTAGCACCTTATTGGGTTCCATGCCCCATCAGTTAATTTAGTTTTATGAGGATGTGTCCACAGTATTGAAGACTCCCGACAGTCCTCACTCCACACTCGCGCTGTCCAATCACCAACTGTTAAGAAATTCTTCAGAAACGTAGGGTTTCTTTGCAATGAATATACAGGACCAAGATGTGCTTCGTACTGAAATTGAGGGTGTGAAAACGTATTTGTATTAGTGATACTTATGTTTGCAAATAATTATATGTAAAATTAGTAATGTACCTTTGAAGGTAGTTTCTCTAAAGGAGTTTTTCCTTTTCTATTCCCTCCAACGACTAGACCAGTCTCGGTACCGATCATAAAACTGATAAAAAATATAAAAATTTTGTTAGTTTTCTTTCAGTCCAAAGTATTCAATACCAATACTCTCTAATCCTACCGAGTAGGTATTGTTGGTTCATATTCCAGGGCAGATATTCCGAGTGCATTTTCAACACTTTGAGTGTCATTGTTACTTTTAACAGGATCTATGATCATAAAATCTGTTGGTTCACTCATGTTTCTTGTATCCCACCTGAAAATTCGTCATATTATATATGAATATAATGCCTATATAATGATTTTCACCAAAATCTATATCGCAAACCATTTGACGACACCATCAGGGGATGCTGAGAAGAATTCTGCTCCAGTTTTTGAATTAATAAAGAGGACATTTCTCGTTAGTTCTCTATGTGCTACGTGAGGTGGACACAGAGCAATGACTTCACCTCCTCGCCGCATGTCCCAACATCCTACCTAGAAAACTTAACAGTAATATATCACATAATATTTGGTATGATTATTGAATATAAACTTACTTGACCATTCATTAGACCTCCGACAAGAATATGTTGATCGCGAGGATTGTACTGCAAATCTAAGAGAGGCTGCGGCGGAGTTATTGTCAATTCTGGAGCATTTGCATTTTCTGCAATTTTAATCATATACTACTGTCATTTTATTAGTTCATAATTTATGTTTATTTTTTTCGCTACTAATTTACCTATATCCCAAATGTAGGATAACTGTAGACTTCTAGAGTTTCTCGTGAAACAGATGTCAGCGTGAGCTGATGCAAGTCTTGCTCCCTCTTGTTGCCACGATAAAGATCGAATAGGCCGTCTGTTAGTCCCAGGTTCTCTATACACATTGACTGTATGACAGCTACTCCGCTCCACCGGTGGTATTGAGGGCAATTCAGAATAGTATATTTGATACATATCTACTGCATTGTTCTGAAGAATATTATGTTCCATACTCTGCAATTTTTTTAATGATTGTCATTGTTTTTTCTTTTTTTACGTAAGTTACTTATTAATACCCACGTGGCCGAGATGCATGACTGCGTGTATGTAAGCGTCGTCTTTCTCTATCTTTCTCCGATATCGTTGAGTTGCTTCTGGATCGTTAATATTGATATCTTTCGGCCAACCTCCCTCTACATGGTTAACTCCCGAGCTTGTGTATTCGGCTCTATACCAAAATACACGTAATAACGCCAATTATTTGATAAATTTATTTAAACATATAAAATTGATACATATTTAAGAATCCCCAGTATTTTTGGTTAATATTAAACTGGACCTAATTACTAACATTTAAGTATCTATAATCAAAATGTATATTTTTGAACTAAGTACTTCTATATTGTCTCGTGTTTTATTACTCACCTTACAGAATTGACCCAATGCTCGGACATAGACTTAGTATTTTCGACGCTCACATTTACCGGATTTCTTAAAATATAGTGTTTATACATTGACGGATCGGAAGGTATGCTTACACTAAGTTCTGCATTTTTGTCTTCAAAAAGAGTTTGTCTGCCAAATTCTCTTCTGCGTCTTGTATATTCATATACGAATTCTGCTTTGTCTGTTTTTTCCATTGTAAACCTTAATTCTGGTAGATATTTTTACGTCTTTTGTTTTAATATCAGTGTTGTGAAACTAATAACACCGGTGGTCTTAGCTTAGAACCCGTTTGATCGATAGTTCAAGGGTTGGGACTACTAAATATAGATAGATTGAAAATATTTATCGCATTTGACTATTGTTTTTCCTGACTAATTTGAAAATAAGATTATAACTACTAATTTTAGTGATTTATAAATTGGCTCGTAGAAAATACTAGTTTGGATAAAATAAAAAGAGATAGAAAGAGTTTCATAATAATGGACGCTTTCTGTAATAAAATAAAACGTATAAATATAATTTGGAAATACATATATTTTTTTGTTAGAAATAAACATAAGAAACTTCAAGCTTCAAATATTACTTTTATTTTATAGCGTCATGAACCATTATGATAAATATAAGTATGAATTACTCCATTTGAATTTTTTGTTTTCTCAATTTTTCCAGTAGATTTTATAACAGGTAGGTATTTGCTGTTACAATATTGTCTAAGTATTTGAAAACGTATTAATTGACCTGAACATCGTCAGTGTGAGTTATATGGGAGTGGCTTTCGAATTATGAACTTCAAACCTATCCTTATAAAGTACTTACCTTCTTAAAGAAGAGAACGAAATTAATTGCCTTATATCAGAAAATTACCAACATCTATTCGATCATGTTAAATTATTTTAACTCACGGGTAATGTTTAATTTTATTTTATAAATTCGATATTTTTGGACATTTAAATAAAATGAAATATATAGTTAGATAATTCTCAAATTTTATTTAAATTAAAGAAATATATTATGTTATTTAATGTTACAATATTAATTAATATAATGGTATTGGATCGTTAGCGATGGCTTTTCTGAGTGCTAGCACCACTACACGAGGCGGTGTTACAGATATATTACAGTAACAGTGTTCCAACATGAACATCCAACGAAGACCAGTTTTGTGTTCGTCGTTCATATTCTTTATTTGCGCTACCTATATCATAAATTGTATAATAATTTATTATTTCTTTGGTTTTTAGCTAAATTCTGAATAAATTATCTCTTACTGAGTATCCAGTAACGTTCTCCAACACGTTTATAGGTAGTACAGCCGTCACTTCACCGGTATGATCAGCCAGACGAATCCTGAATTCCTCTAAAGTGTTGTCGCTATACATAATTAATATACTTTGAAATTCTTATTCGTTATTTTTCGTTAGTCTTTGAAATTCTTATTCGTTATTGAGTAATGAAAAAAATTTAATGAAGTAATTTGTTATAATATTTTCATAATTAGTTCAATCGAAGAAGTAGGTGTTTCATTTACTACGATTATTTCTTAATAAAACAGTTTAATTTTATTTTAACTGGATTTGTAAACTAACGTCGAGGGTAGAAGCTCGTCTAGATCAAGATGTGTAAGTAGTGCATGTAACTCAGCACAGAACATCCCGCCCGTGGCAAGTCTGTCACGCGTCTGACGAACGGTCGCTGGGACAGCGCGTTCTCCCCACCCCGACCAACCTGGCGCCCCACCACCTGGCGATGACGTCATACAAACGATAGCCATAATATATATATATATATATATGTGTGTGTGTGTGTGTTTGAGGTCGACTGGTTCGCTATACTGACTGATTACAATTAAAAAGTAAAAACTATTGTAAGCATGCAACTAAGTTTTAGGATTATACGTGAAAACAGGCATTTAGTTTAAATATGGGAATCTTCAATTCGTGTATAGTCTACTTGTCAGAATGTTGGTTTTTGAAATTTTCCCTCAAACTTTCTTCCTTTAATCAACAGAACTACACTAGTTAGAAGGTAAATAACTGTCAGGCTAGAAATCTAATCTGAGAACTGCCATACATAGGATGACATGCTAGTTGTAGTATTAAACACCTACTTTAATAGCACAATTGTTAAACTTTTAGACGAAAAATCTATAGTATCCTCACCACAATTTGGTACCATTAAACTCATTACTGGAACTTGCCAGGTTTTCATACATAAATTCTCAAACACGGTTTTTTGAACAAAATGACCTAGTTTTAATTTTTTAATACAGTTATAGTTCGTTTTTTACATTAGTAGATATAGATTAACAGAAAGCAAATGTTTAATGAGGCAGTTGTGAACACGCAATTTATTTGATTCTATACAATTTTCTCATTGCTGGAGCTACAAATAATGAAGAATGAAGTAATGTCTATAATGAGTTAACGCTTAGGTTATAGGATAAATTTATAGTAAAAGTAGGTTAGGTAGGTAAGTACATTTAAGAATGAGAAACTGGCAACACTAAATACTTAGTAATACAATACTTGTGGTGAGTATACTAACATCTCATGATATTTTCTTCTACTGTGGTAAGTTGTGATACTTCTATACTAATATCTAATACATCTGTATTTAACAAGTTATAGCACATAAATTTTGTACTTACTATATAATTTCAAATATTATGTACAAAACGTAATAATGTCGATTATGCTAAGAAACAATGACAATTATGTATTGGCGCATTCAAAATGGGATTTTATTATATGGCAATACATATATTGGTAAAATGACGTAATAATTGACGGTTATTCTAAATTTAAATTCTCATAACTCACGCGTATTGGCTTGATTACTGATATATAGTCTAAGAGCTTCCGCCTCAGGAGTGTGAGGCTGGTGTGTGAGAACGCTTTTCCCGCACATCTGAAGACGCGTCCCGCCGCGCCAGGACACACGAACATCCGACACAAACAACACGTCCATAGGACGGAACTGTTCCGCTCTGATTGAAAATTATTCCACTATGTATTACCCCAAAAATCTCCCGCAAATTAGAAGTCTTTAATTGCAGTAATAGTGGTAATTTTGCAATGTGGCAACACCCCTTTCCCCATTTAGATTTTTTTTTAGATTGTAATCGTATCAATTTTGCAAATTGCAATGTGGCAACAATAGTCATACTTAATAATACGTTACTAAAAATTTTGAAGCTCTTAGAATACAATTTCGTATGATATAATGTCTATAATTTGTGGGCTTCTTATGTCTTTTCACAAAACATGGCGATACAATAAAAAACTTCGTATTGCAATGCAATATAAGTATATATCGTTGAGATAGTTTGCATAATTATAATAATCTTATCCTTTTTTTGTTTTATAAGTTACCTTTGAATCGTGTCCATATCAAATACATCTAACGTTAAAGTGCCCGGTGTTGTGTTGTCCATAATTTCAATACTTCTCACGGACATTTCCACGCCTTAAATACATACTTACTTTATTTCCAATTATTATTATAAATCAATTGGTACTTAACAATACTGTACCTGCTTTCGTCTTGATATTTTTTATAGCTTTAACTGACTTTACCACGACCAATAAATCAATGTATGTATTATTTTTATCTTCTAAAAACCGTAAAATAACAATATTAATTTCCTTATTTAGTTGCATATATCAAAAATAATCATATTTTATGAAAGACCTTTAAATGTATAGATTTCTGATAAGCCGGTACAAACTGCGTGAATCTTAGTTGGTATGTGAAGTAACGGAAGGTACTGGCTAAAATCTCCTCCATACACACTTACATCCGATAGTCCCTCGTTTAGAGATAAGAAAAATGGAGATGTAACCTAATTACAGATGTTATTTTAAGGAATTTTGTGCCTCAATATTATGTAACATTGAAATATTACGAACCTGCGGTCTGAAAGCTTCGTTATCACCCGTTTTAATACAAATTTTAGGTGACGATATTTCAACTGAAAGAAGATAAGGTAAAGTACATATAAACAGAAATGTATACATTTGGTCAAAAATGTTTTGAATACAAACCTACATCGCCGACCAGAAATCTTTCATAGAAAGTATGAACAAAATATTGAGATCCCCAAATATCTACGTTTATCGTGTCTATTTCAGAATCACGTATAGTAAAAGACATAACTGCTCTAGACTCGCCGCTCTTTTTTTTAGACCCTACCGATCGAGGAGTGTTCTTAGCTATGATAATGCCAATAATTAAAGCATTTTTTATATTTATATTTAAGTTGTTTAAAAAAACTTTTTGAACTCCCGCCATTTTGTAAGACTTGTAGTCGACGATTTGATCTGAAACTTTTTTGCTTTTAACTCAGCTTCAGTAATGTGTTGGTGATGGAATATAGTTTTACTGCTTTTAATGGAATGAGATGTTAATACACGAACAATTATTTTTAAACGAGTCCAACAGCAGAATTAAAATCGGAAATTATAAATAATCTTAAAATCTTTAATTAAAATTTCATGAAATTATATAACGGAAAAGTTTTGTTTATTTACAGATAAAAGACCTATTAAAAAAATATATAAATAATTTCAGTCACGACTAGCTGTTTACACTTGACAAATGACAACTGTCATTGAATTATTTTGGCGGGTGACAAAGAATTCATAAGAGTTTAAAGATATTCGTTTTTTATGAAAACATTCCTAATATAATGCTCTTTAAAGTAAATGTTGAGAATTCGAAAAAACAATTTGAGGTGGTAGATGTCGACAGACATTCAGTGCAATATGCTGATGGATCCAATCGGTTTTATAAAGTTTCGAGAGATTTTTCTAAACAGTATGCTCATATTTATTCAGCACGGCTAAATATTTTTAGAAATATATTAGCACCTGTAGTCCATAAAAAGTATTCAAATAAATATAAAATTCTGAAATTGTGCGATCTTCGCGATAAGGGCACACCTTGTGTAATCATTGGTACATTATTTAAACTGCAAGAATTAAAACCCAGTATATTAAAAGAGCTATCAGATCAACTTGAAATATTACCGCAACCAACAAGGTAAACAAGCATACAATTTTTATTTATACCTCTTACTTACAATACTTATAACTTATAAGTAATTTTCTTGCTTTCAGAACCCATTTTGTTCATGAAACTGATAGTTTAGTGTTGGAAGACGAGCTACAAAGAATAAAATTATCTGGAGATTGTATTGATGTTAATAAAGTGGTAACTGGTGTTGTTGTTGCTCTACTTGGTAATAATTTGTCAATATATATTCATGGTTATTCTTCATATAAAATGGTACTTACATAAATATTTGTTTTAGGTTCTGAAGACGAAGATGGAATATTCACTGTCAAAGATGTCTGTTGGGCAGGATGTAATGTACAAAAACCTCTACCTACAATAAGTAACGACCGGTACTAATATTAAACTAAATCGAAAATTTTATTCATCAATGAGAGATTAAGATCGGAAAGTACATAATAATTTGTTGATAATTTCAGATATGTTGTTCTTATGTCAGGATTAAGTCTAGCATCCAAATCCGGAGACCATTTGTTTTCCTTAAACTTATTTTTGGAATGGTTATCAGGATTTTGTGGTACTACACAATATCAGGGAGAAGTTTCAAAGATCGTCAGAGTTATAATCGCAGGTGAACATTTAAGGATTATTAATAGATAATTATTAGTTAATAGTATTGTAAAATAATAATATGATGTCAAATATAATGTAGGTGGATCACTTTAATAAATTAGTTTCTATCATTCAGTCTTGCTACTTAGCACAATACATATATGACAAATTTACTACAGTTTTATTGAATACTAGAGTTTCGCCCGCGACTTCGTCCGCTTTAGTTTCGCCATTAGTAATATATATATAGCTGACCGGGCGAACTCTATTCCGTCTTGAAGGCCATAAATAATCAGGTTTTTCCTGTTTCAATCGAACAGAATGATTGACATATTAGTTAGTTGTCAAATCTAATGTCAAAGAAAACGTTTGTATGGGAAATAGAAAAGCGCTGTTTATGGGGTTCTTCCGGAAATTAATAAAAATTTTTCACCTTTTATACCTTCCCTGAACCTCCACGAACATTTCAAGACTAAGATAAGATAAATCCGTTCAGCTGTTCTCGAGTTTTAGCAAGACTAAGGAACAGCAATCCATTTTTATATATATAGAAGACTACTATATAAAATAAAATAATAATACAGTATGTATGTTATGTAACAGAGAGTGTTCCCTTGAACTCATTAATATATATCACTAATAGATTAAAATAAATATATCAGCATAGAAAAAAAGCATAAAATAATCTGTATTAAAAAAAATAACACACAATAAATTTGAAAGTATGATGTTTAAGGTGGAATCTATGCAAACCAGTCCAGTGATTTCCAACTTAGTGAATCAGATGTTATAAGCTCATCTGATGTTGTTGATTCATTCTCTGCTGCTGTTAGTGCGGTCACACCTTTAGATCTAATGCCAGGTTGTAAGGACCCTACTGGCATTATGTTACCACAGAAACCTTTTCATTACTGTGAGTTAAATTATAATCAACAATTCCCTCATGTTAATTATTGTTATATTTATTAATAATTGTAATTATTTTATATTTCCAGGTTTATTCCCAAAAGCAATTGAATATAAATCATTCAATAGAGTATCCAACCCTTATGAATGTGACATTGGAGGTAGGTCAACAATCTATTAGAATTTCATAAACTTAATTAAAAAATTATATAACTGTTTATTAGAAAGTTATAAGAAGATGGAAGTGTTAAATTATACCTTTTGTGGAAATTTTTTGTACCTCAAACTCGCTGACATTAATACATTCCATAGATCATACATAATCTTATAATAAAACTATTGGAATCATTTTAGAAATTAATACAATGTACCACAGGAAAATCCCTACTAATATTATAAATGCGAAAGTAACTCTGTCTGTCTGTCTGTCTGTCTGTCTGTCTGCTACGCTTTCACGCCTAAACCACTGAACTGATTTTAATGAAATTCGGTACAGAGATAGAGTTGACCTTGAGAAAGAACATAGGATAATTTTTATCCCAGACTTTTGAAAGGTTCTCTTGGAAACGCGATATAACCGAACTCCACGCGGCGAAGCTGCGGGCGGAAAGCTAGTACTTATATAAAGAAGCTTCAAATACTTTCAGGTTTTATATGTTTGGGTACATCAGGAGAACCAATAAGAGATATCATGCAGAACAGTGAGATAGACAAACATTTGGATGTTATGAAGAAGACTTTGGAGTGGCGGCACATGGCGCCTACCTGTCCTGATAATGTTCCTTGCACACCCTGTATAGATACAGATCCATTCACCATTTATAACTGCCCTGCCATATACTTTAGTGGCAACTGTACTGAATTTGCCACAGAAATTTTCAATGGTAAAATCAATTAATCTAGAATATATTTTTTAAGCTGGTATTTTGAGGATATAATAGTATTGAATATTGTTTCAGGTGACGATGGACAGAAAGTCAGAATTGTATGCATTCCAGATTTTTGTGAAACTAAAACCGTAGCATTGGTGAATCTTGCGAATTTGGAATGTTATAGTATGACATTTGGTTGAACTTGTGATTAAGTGATATAAAAAATTAATTTTATTATAACAAGTATATTTTTTTACCTTAATGTTACGTCAGTATTTATAAGTATATTAATTTTTGAGACTACAACAGGTGTAGTGGTTGCCATATGTTGAAATCCTTAATAAACCTTAAGATTGCAACTGATGTTAGTTGATAAAAACAAATAAATATTTGTTCTGTATAGAGCATTTCAAAATTTGAAACTTTAAATTTTTATTACGTTTATACAGGGTGACTGGTGAATTACTATCGATACTTGAGGACATGATATTTGGCGATCATATATGACAAAATAAAAATTAATATAACATAAATATTAATAAACTTCTAAGTAAAGTTAACCAAAAGTTATGTAATTAATTATGCATCGTGTGAACACCCTACAGATTAGGTATAAACACGCACACACACACACGCGTCGGCGGCGTAGTGTTGTATCAGCACGCCGCCGCGCGCGTCCACACTTGGAACATTTGGAACGTGTCCACCCTTTATTTATTTATACGGAAATTTGGTCAAAAATTAAGTACCTATTTTTTTTACATAATTCGAATGAGAATCATGTACCGAGTATGCTCCTTAAATATTGATAGTAATTCACCAGTCACCCTGTATATCGATGTCGCGTTACAGCCGATCCCGGATTAGGGGTAAAGTAAAAAGAGATTCCCAGGTTGCTAAACCAATAGTTCATGATGCACTCGAATGATCACTCATTGGTGTAAATGTTCCGCTGTGTTTCCTACTGATGAAAAGAAATATTGTTCTAAGTTCAAACGCGCTTCACTCTGTAAAATGTATCATGTTTACCGTAATTTAATAAGCAGGTTCAGATTAAATTAGTACATGATTATGAATTTAGTCTACTGGAATTTATCAATTATTACTCTCATTTTTTAATTTTTACTTATAAGGCTACGGTCATAAACTTGAATAAACGAATTTAAATACTTTTTTTAAATTAAAACTGTCGATTGCTGTATTATTAAAAAAAACCATACCACATTTTTTTAAATTCCGTAAATGCTAAAACCACTAAGTAAGTCATGCAGATTTACATAGAGCCAGATCAAGAGGCCGTTAATTGCTAGAGAGCGTTAAAGTAATAGTTTGAAATATGAAAAGGACTATTACAAGCCTCTTGAGGTAGATCGTAATTAGACAACTAGACAAAATATCTGCTTTATCTAAACAGTATTAACAGTATTATAATACGAGGTCAGGTTTCCTCTTTCGAATAAACATTTGCTTAGTTAGATGTCTAAATTATATCGTTTCATTTATTAGCTGCATTTGACTTCGTAATAGAGTTGATCTCATATTTAGTTCATTTATGGTTGATAACAGTACAAAGGACATTAGAAATTGTTATTGAAAAAATATCAATCAAAATTAAATTGTACCTTATTGAAAATAGTTATTTGAGCTAAAGACTTTTAAATATGTAAATGATATAATACCTTATCAATTAATCTACATATAGCTAGCTATTATTGTAACGACACTATTTTACAAATATATATTTACTTACATTTTAGTTGGATTACATTATTTATTTATTTTTTTTATTTTCGATGTAGTGCTGGGTATATAGTTTGGATTATATTTTTAATTTACTGATGCCATAATCTTCCGTTATTATAATCAATATAACGTGTTATACAAATTATACGTTATTGTAGTCGAAGGGGTTATACCGATTTTTATTTATACATCGTATAACTGAGTTCTAGCAACACCAAACTGTCAGACTTCAACTCCTCATATCTGAATAGAACCCTAGTTCATTACTCATCATGGCTCGCAATTAGAAAGACGTGTTATTTATTTTGTTCCGTGCGATTAATTGTGTTACGATGGGTTTCTAATATCCTAAACGTTTTGCACACCCAAGTGTGCCTTCACTAGATAAATAAAATGTTGTAAGTATTCAATTTTTCTATTTAATATTTATTCGTTATGGTGAACGGAAATTCCAAAGCGTCGCCAGTTATTACGCCATGAATGCTACTTTCACATATCTATGTGTAAGAATTGTTGTACCGCGATATTATGAGTCGTGCGTTTGAACTAAGATAACGGAGCTATCTGTAATTTTTTTTCTATTGATATGAAATTTTAAATCTTTGATGCTCACAAAAAATTTTTTATTGAATTAACAAATTTAAGGGTAAACAAAATTCAATAAAAAATAATAATCAGGAAACCGCTAAAGCATATGCTTACTTAAATAAAAATTTTAACAGTATAATAAAAGATTAGAATCATTTGATTTTAATGTACTTTCATTATGGTTATGTTATTTTATTATAAGCAATAACTAGTTTTTAAGGATTTTTTCGGCTATACAGAAGCATATCATACAATCAATGTATGTATTTGTATATAAGTGTTTTAAAGAACTAACAGCATTGATCAGTTATAGTACAATATGAAATAACCTCTTAATTCAAATAGCAAGTACAAATTACAACTAACTTTGTGTAACACTGAAACTTATTTGATGAAAATCTAATTCACCATGCTCATACAAAGGTATTGCAAAAGATGTTGTAATATAACTTACCATCTTCGCATTTGATATAGCACATATATCAACTCCTGACTTGCATTTGAATGTGTATATAAGGAAAATAAATCAAATAAAAGTAACTGAACTTTGTAATATATAATTGTGTGTAATAATTATAAATAATGATTGAGGATTACGTTGTTCAAAGTAATTCACACACCTTCCCATTATATTTGTTTAAGGGACTTTGCACACATTTACCTCCTATCATTTGTATGAATTAAGTGTTTGTGATGTCACAGCCACTTCTTAGAACTCACTTAACTTACAAAGTATTGTAAATACATATTGTAAAGATTTTTTAAACATTTATATGTAACTTATATTCTTTTAAATAATTAATAATAGTCACTTAATTGGTATAGTTTTTTCTCAATGTTTCTTAATATGTGAAGTATGGCATACTCATAAATCAAATTTGTTGTTTATTGAGAGACTAATCATCTTTGCCCTTTATTGTTACCTGTTCTCTGTTTTTTGAATGAATTTTTTTGTAGTGTGTTTCTTATGTATACACATATATGTTATATGCATACATATGTACACACATGTTTGTTGCTGCATTCAGACACTAAATTAAATACTGCTAAACATATGGATTTTTCTCTATTACAAATATCCAAATTTTTCTACCATCAGTAAGTTTCTTTTCTTATTAATAAAACAACAAGTGTGATCATACATACCCAGACGTAATTTGCAGCTTAAAAAATCATTTTATTTTGTTTTTCAATTTTTCTCTTCTTAAATACATGCATAATTTTACTTTATTTATTTACCCTTCGAAAAAAGCATTTACTTAGATTGTAAATAAATAAATTGTGATGCTGACCTACTTAGATTATTAAAAAAGTTGTGTTGTATTAAAATAAAAATTAATTCTGCATCTCTTTAACAACATCAAATCTTTAACAATATGTAAAACATGTGATTTCTATGTTTTACATATTGTTAAAGATTTCCTCTGAAATATTGAAAGTGTAAAAAGAAATCTACAAAAACTTTGTTACTAATTCCCCACTTTATTAGTTTATTGAAATTCTCTTTAAAATTTAAATCCTATCAAAATTGTTGATGTAAATTATTATTATTGTAGCAATACATATTGTAATATTACAACAAAACTTCATCATACTAGTAAATCCCTTAAATATCAACAAAAGTATATGTTTATATAGCATGAGATATTCTGTGATATCTGTATACTGTTTGGTTAATTAAAATTTATCAAAAAAACACCATTATGTATTACATTAACAATGCCTATTTATAAATGTTTTTAAAAACTTCACGTTTAATGTAAACAAATGATTAATATCATTAATTAAATGGTAATAAAAATTAGTTTAATTAAACACAATTTATTATTTGTTAAGTTTGATTTTTATTACTTATATCTTCAAAAATCTTTGTAAGCATTTAATTTTTTATGTTTATTTTTGTCTCATATTGTTAAAGGACGTCTCATAATTACATAAAAAAAATGTTTTGACTTATTTGAAGAAATGATTATTTTGAACAGAAACTAGTTCGTGATAATTATGAAAGAAATATAAGCAATAATTGAGGAGTCAAGTGAGCCAATATAGCTGAGTTTGTGGCTATTGTGTAACAGCCAATGTCTAGACACGTGCACTGTAATAGAAAAACATTCACGTCGGTACATTTAGCTTACAAAACGTGTAATCGAATTTCAAAACCGATTAAGCAACTATCAAATTTAAGTCAACGCAATGTCTAAGAACACGAATTAAAATATTTATCGTAATTATTTTTAAACACCTGTTAATATTTTATATCGGAGCTAGTAAGGGGTTGCACCATTCTGTCATAAATTGACACTTTGACGTTGACGCTACCGGTTTTTTGTCCTTGGGGCTAAAGAACAATTTGTCTGAAAAGAATTGCAATACAAGATTCTGATGCAATACATGTAGGCAATGTGGAAGACGTCTTAAAAGTACTGTCAAAATTACAATGATAAAAAAAATGTGATAATCTCGTCTGCCCATGACCGCGGTTGCAAAGTAACCGAAATGTCGGGAGTACGTAGTTTTAAAAAGTAATGAAAGACGCGTAGTAATCCGAAAATATTAGTTTCTTTTAAATTGATACTCATTAGATCTCATTAATTTCAACATGATACGGCTACGGATGGGAGTGTACATAATGTTAGTAACGGGAATGTCTCAGCAGCCGCTTACTCTGCAAGTCATTCTATGAAAGCCGCAGGGCTGATATAAATACCCATGACGTAAAAAACACACGGGAAAAACATCCTTACGGTATTTCGAGCTTCTAAATCTATGATAATAAGATATTCGATATTAGTAGTGGCTGGCATCGTTTGTAATTGTAATAAAATATTGAGAACTAAAAAAATCATGTAGAATTGAACCTGTGTCTTATACAGTAAAAGCAAGTATGCCCTGAGATCTGACTCGAAGACTTTCATTCAAATAAAATTAATATTTTCGGATTACCTCTCGTACATAGGTATTTAGGTTAGGTATTTAGGTTTTTTACGTTATTTTCATCTCGTTTGCTTGTGATCACGGTAACTGCAAAGTAACCGAAACGTCGGGAGTATGTAAGTAGTTTAAAATAATAAAAAACGCGTAGTAAAGCCGAAAATATAAGTTTTCTTTAAGTATTCTCTGGTCGACTGGCCCGGTCTTATATTCATCTTTCAAAGTTAATTCCGTCGTTTTTCGAAAATAATCCATTCTATAGATAGTTAACTATTTCGAAATTAAGGAACTCATTAATTTTACAGACTAACAAGCAAGATTCAATATAATTCATATATTTGTGTATGTAATCATCCAATCAATGTACCAATGGATGACCAAATCCTAGTTTCTTAACGAGAACCAATCGAAACCACTATCTTTTAATTTTTTCCTTTTATTCAGCTACATAAGAATATTCTAGAAGGTGATTTGCGGTAATGACCTGTACTCTAAATCTATACTGCTTAAAATATTTATATGCTATATTTTATTAATATCAAAATATATGTATTTCTCTTATAAGATCACAGTTTGTACGTCAGTATATAATGAGGTACATTGATGGAAAAGTAACAGATATCAAATTAATTACAGCATTAGATTAGTCCATAAACTTGAACGGTTCGCTTATATAACTAATTTTAATTATTTCTTATAATAATGGCTAGTCATGAGACAACAAAGAGATAAGATTATGAAAGATGAGATCATAGGTCACGAATCAGACCACCCATTTAAATTAATTAACAGTTTTTTGCGAACTTAAATGTTTAAACCGATTTTCTGCGAAACGTAGCCGATATCGATATTTATCGTTTGATTAAATAAAATAAATATAGTTTACTTAAAAAGTTTGTAAATACAAAACACTACTTTCTGAATTAATTATTCTAAATTAATTTAAGTAAGTCAAACCTAGCAGCAATCATACGTTTTTGAGGATTATATGGAAAGAAATGGAGAATTAAGTTACTCATACTAAGTCGAAAAATTATAGAAAAGCATTTAACTGAAAATAATATAAATATTCCACAGTGCTATATGAGCATTTTTATGAATATATCGTGTTTTTTTTTACGATTTTACAAATCGATTGGTCACAAATGACATGAAAATTTAATTAGTCACAACTAGTACTATCAGACGTTGACGTGGAATGTATGGGTAATATAAGCATATCAAGTGTTTGAAGTATTTTTACGATGTGTTATATATATATGAAAATTAATATATTTTTTAATTATTATTCCAGTGCCAAAATGGCGTCTTCACCGGACAGCTTTGTCCTACGACAAAAATCACCATCACTCACGGTCAGCGATCGATCCCAAATTGAAATTGTATCCTTGGTAAGTAATAAAGTATGGCAAATTAAATAATATAATGAAAATTTTATCGACACCAATATATGGTGTTTGTAGTAGAGATGATCACGACCACTCTGACAAGAGTGTTACGACCAAGAAGAATTAAAGTAGATAACTTTTTAAAGTATTTATTTATAAATTATATAGAAATATTGATGCTAAGTTTTAATATAATTTAGTTTATCATTTTGTAAGTAGTTCAATAAGTTTTTTTTCTGGTTTAAAACTCATCGGCAATATAAATATTTTTTTTTATAAATATTTTAAATCACCTACTTTAATCGCCCTCAATAGATTATGTTTGAATTAAAATGTGTTTTTATAACACATTATCAGTTTGTTAAGTATAACCTTTAACTTCTATAAAAAATCCTTATATCTTTTATCGCTAAATTGCGTTAATTTTATATTTAGTCAAGATATCGATTTTTCATACAAGCCCTTTTATGAATATTAACAAATTCTATAACTCGATATTATTATTTTAATTACCTTATTTAGCTTACTTAATTAACCCATAAAATTTTCCTGTCTCATATACTATCTCTTAAGATTATTACATTATATCAAACTACCTATAACCACTGATAACTTCTTTCCAATCTATGTAGTACTGTGTTTGAATTAACATACAAAAATTGTATAAATATTTTCATATATATATAATACATATAAATTTTTCGTATAATTTCAGATATTTACCACCGACAACATCCCAAACAAACATGAGTTCGATTCAATGGGACGAGTCGCTGGCTTCGGCCAACAATCTTCTCACTGATAACGAGTGCTCTATACTGCTCGATGAAAGCCTACTCTATACCGATCAAGGTAAATATAAATACATAGCATATTATATTACACGTCCAACGAGAAGAGATAATTATAAATAACAAATCACACATCACTGGCGTAGAAGCGAAATGAAATTAATAAAAAAATATAAAGAGAAATTAAATAGTTTTGCAATTATATTAATGAAAAAATATAACTTTATAAATCATTCTTTGAAAAGTCCTCAAAGTAGTTTTTGTCGCGTGCCATCGACGGCAATCCTCATTACATACAAAAAAGTTAATTGTAGAGCAAAATAAACAAAATAAGGTGTAGAAAATGATACAAATGTATTATAATCACGCAAACAGATGACTGTTGATGTTTATGATTGGAAGTTAGCAAAATATAGTTCCACTTAAGTGTATAAGCAAATAAATGACAATAAAACATACACAAATACTCAAACGCACACACATGCAAACATTCATCTACTTAAATTCCGTTTATATATTTTTTTAAATTTAGCACGTTTATCATTCGTCATTTATAATTTGTAAACAATTGCAGTTTTCTGAGTTTATTTATTTTTAAAAGCGCAAGAACGTGTTATTCCTTGAAAAATAAAAATTCCGTAATATCGACCACTCGTCCATAAGGAATTAAAATTCTAAATCTGTTTATCAATACTAATATTATAAATGCGAAAGTAACTGTTGGTCGGTTTGTCTGTCTGTTACGCTTTTACGCCTAAACCACTAAACTGATTTTAATGAAATTTAGTACAGAGATAGAGTTGACCTTGAGAAAGAACATAGTATAGTTTTTATCCCAGATTTTTGAAAGATTCGCTTGGAAACGCGATATAACCGAACCCCACGCGGGGTAACTGCGGGCGGAAAGCTAGTGAAAATATAAATTTTGTGATCATACGTAAGATTATGACGGAGGATTGATTAAAAATGGCGGTAATGACTTCTTTAATACTAGGTATAATATTTGTGATTAAATGTCTTTAAAGGATGAAAACCTCAGACGATTTCAATTCCGATTTGCTTTTCACATTGTTGTTATTTACCATATTAATAACTTTAGTTTGGGGCACCTTAATTCAATAATTGTTAAATAAGTTTACCTGAGAACATCTTGATGTCTACATCTTGTTAGTCTTGACTAACACACATAAATTATTATTTAACATTACTTTATTATCATCATCATCATCAGCCAAAAGACGTCCACTGCAGGACATAGGCCTCCCCCAAGGATCAACTTTATTATAGTTGGATACAATTTATAATAATATTAGATACAATACTTTAAACACTATTGATATTATAAATGTATAATATTTATTTATTAACTAGTTTTTGCCCGCGACTTCGTCCGCGTTAATTTCGTCATTAGTAATATATGTATAGCTGACCGGGCGAACTCTATTCCGTCCTAGAGGCCATAAATAATCAGATTTTTCCTGTTTCAATCGAACAGAATGATTGACATATTAGTTAATTGTCAAATCTAATGTCAAAGAAAACATTTGTATGGGAAATAGAAAAGGGCTGTTTTTAGTGTTTTTCCGAAAATGAATAAATTTTTCTCACCTTTTATACCTTCCCTGAACCTCCACGAACATTTCAAGACTAAGATAAGATAAATCCGTTCAGCCGTTCTCGAGTTTTAGCGAGACTAAGGAACAGCAATCCATTTTTATATATATAGAAGATAAGTGCACAAAAGTTATAATAATCGCATAAGAATAAAAATCTAGGAAAATATACTACAATTTAAACAATATTCCATAACAATATTATTCTTACTTGTTTCAATTGATCTCTTCTATTGAACAACACTTGGGAATAAGCTGAATGTTCAATTATCTTTAATCAGTCTGATCAATTGATGTGCAGAATTTATAAAATGAATAAACAATATAAAAATAATATCTTTTTGTATTATACAAGTTATTTGCACTTGATATATGTATATACATATACAAATGTGTAAAGTTACTAGACACCATTTGGTCTCAGTTTGTTTGTGTGTAACTTATTATAGGTATTAATTTTCATTTTATATAATTAAGATATCCTAGTTTTAATATGGGTTTAGAAGTTGTTATATTAATTATAATTAACACTGTTTGAGAAAGTAGTTTGTCCTTGGAGATTGGTTAATCAATCATTGGCATAGTTGCGGTACAAAATGTTACAATGGTACCATTGCAATGAACATTCTAATAGCCTTATTTTTATTCATATGTCTTTATTTTTGAATTAAACACATACAGTAGGACCTCGATTATCCGGACTAATTGTTGTCGGTAGGCATCCGGATAAATGATAATCCAATATATGAAGAAAAACGGGCTTTTTGCATATGTACATATGTAGTCTGTACCATACATATGTAATTTTAGGTGTTTATTTAAAACAACAAATACATATGAGCTAGAATCAACATTTATTAAGAAATTGTACATAATGTACGTATAAGTGTTATAAGTGGCGTAGCGTTATGCAAGTTCTGTTCTGTTAATCTATACTAATATTATAAAGCTGAAGAGTTTGTTTGTTTGTTTGAAAGAGCAAATCTCCGAAACTACTAGTTCGAATTGAATAATTCTTTTTGTGTTGGATAGTCGAGTTATCGAGGAAGGCTGTGGGCTATATAACATCACGCTACAACCAATAGGAGCAAAGATACAGTGGTAAATGTGTAAAAAACGGGAGAAATTATTTCATCTTTGAAGCCTTCCGTTGCGTGCGCCGTGAAAACGGTTCAAGATACACAAAAAATATGTGTTAAAGAATAATAGCTCTTTTAATGATCTAAAAAACAGTCCGTTTATTCAAATAAACAAATAAATATGTTGTTGGTTAAGAGTACTTCATTGTGAATAAAAAAAACATAGGTTTTATCCCGAAAATTCTACGGGAACTCGACCATTCCGAAAACCCCGCAAGAACGGGAACTATGTGGGAAGAACCAAAAAGCTGCCGGAAGTCACTATTCCACGCGGACGAAGTCGCGGCAAAAGCTAGTGTTAGAATAAACTCGTCGCGATTGGCAGTCCGGATAATCGCGAATTCGGATAACCGAGGTCCGGATAATCGGGGTCCTACTGTAATATGGTTTTTAATTACAGGACTAAATTAGTGTTGCAATATACATTATTGTGTTATTGCTAAGTTTTTATATGTAGGAATATTTTTTTTAGTAATTTATAGATATCTTTTTAAAAATAATAAGGAAGTTTATGTAATATAGAAATATTTTTTTTATTAAAACTTTGTTCTTGCATATAGAGGTTAGGCATATTATTCTTTTGACTTTCTCCATGACTTTTGTCTTTTAATAGGTTGGTTATTTGAAATGTATATGGTGTTTTAACAGTGGATATTAATTCAGAATGATAGATAGAAAATAAAATTCTAAGTTCCCGTCTACATAACGCTTTTATAAAAATATTAAAATCGCAGATTATGCCATGTCGATTATATGGTTTGATTTAAAAAGGGAAAAAACTTTCCTAGTTTGTTCTAGAATAAACCATTGGACAGTGCAGATTAGTCATAATTTCTATATAAAATTCTTGTCTTGTTATAAAATCTGTTTAAAGTGAGTATTTTATTATTTTCAAAAAACTACATACTCCCGACGTTTCAGTTACTTTGGAGCAAACGTGATCACGGGCAGGCGAGATGAAGTAAATATTGCTTTTTTGTATTAATAATAGATAACCAATTAGTTCTTTTTCCTATTTAAATGCCAATTTTTTTTAATTCACTTTATATTTAATTGGTGCTATGTTAGATTTAAAATAAGGGTAATTTTAAGTGAACATAAACCAAGTTCTCAATAAACATAAAAAATAGAAACTATGATTTGGAAGGGGATTTGAGTTATAATAATAATTATATAAAAACTCATGTCCTAGTTGACAAGATTTACATAACAAGATTTCCTTTTTACATTTTACCATTGACTCTACCCTTTTTTGTTTACAAATCGGCCATATTAGTTTATAATTTCGATCTAAGATTTTCTTGAGTTTTCATTTAAATGAAAGTAATATTTTCGGATTTCCTACGCGATTTTTATTTTTAACTATAAACTCCCCACGTTTCGGCTACTTTACAGCAACCATGATCTCGGCTGCCGGTGAGTGCAGTTTATAGTCAAAATAAAAAACGCGTAGTAAATCCAAAAATATTAATTTATAATGTCATCCCTGTGGTATAATTAAATTGTAAAGGAAATATCGAGAGTGTAGAAATTTAAAGAATAAATACTTCTAAACTGTATAGTGTACATATAGGTAAAAGTAATTTACCTCAAGTATTTAGTATTATACCCGGGTTATTCCCTCGTCGGTTATGTTAAAGTGCCAATATAAGGAAGTATATCGAAATAACATTGTGATGATACAGAAATTGAAATGAAAATATTTCATTATCATATGTATCTGAAAAAAGGAATTACGTAGGCTTCATAATATCCGCGATAGCCAACAGCCAGCGCCATCTATCGTCTTGAATACGTGACGACTAAATACAATTGTTATATTATGTATTGTTATCCTGGTGGTACATTCTACACAGCTAAGCATATAAGCTTAAGCATGTTACACTTACATGTGTGATTTGTATTATTGTAAAGTTTCATAAAAAACAATTGACTATTGAGCACTTAATCTCTACTACTAGTACCATTCAGTAATTTTATTTCCCATAATAAGTTGCTATTTGTACATTCTTACTGCCTTTAAATTTTGTTACATAATGTAGTAAATCTACATTATGTAAGATTGTGAATAGCAAGTAGAAATGTAGTGTATAATACAATTTATTAAAATATCGTAATTTTTTTTAGATTATAATTTAAGAATAATTTATAGAAAATATTCCAATGATTAATACATATAATTCCTCAATGTTTAAAGCTGACTCTGTTAAATCAATATATCAAATTTCTTAAAAATTTCTTAGACTACAAATTTATGTTCTCCTTTGTCACTGTAGTAAAAATTTTTCAAGGTCATAAAGTAAATAATATTTAAAAGTATCAGTGTGACTTTTTATGTCTTTTGGGTCCTAATCATTTTAGTCGATAAATACTTTAAATTTGTTTTTTTTAATTTATCATATTTAAAAACACGAGCCAGAATTCCATGTTATTAGGAATAGCGCATAACAATTATTTTCACTTTAACAGACGATAGATGGCGATAGTTGCTATGCGAATTTAATCAAGCACTAATTATTTCTCTGAACCCAATTCCAAAGTCCACGGCTGCGGAGTCTCGGTCAAAAGCTAGTTTATAATAAATTAAACGAATATCACAAAATGGTATTGAACTCTGTGCGTCTTGGCAGATTTTATCTCGACACGCTGTCGACACGTGATCATTGACGTTAATTATATAATTGTATTAGAATATATATATTGTTTTTTAATGTATTTATCATCTTCACACACCCATCAGCCCCCCACAGATTCACCTCATGTCTTGATAAACCTTTAGGTCACTTGATATGTAACAAGAATTAACATGTGGACATGCATATATGTACATACATTTATATACATATATTTGTATATTGTTTATATTATTTTATCGGTTTTACCTTATGATCGGTATTTTTCCCTTGTTTTATTTTATATATTTAATTTGATATTTTAATGTCATGTTTTACATTTGTGACACATGTGATTTTTTTAATATAATAATAAGTTAAGTAATCGTCTGTCAGTGTGAGATAATTTTTTAAAGATAGTCCAAGGAAAATTTTTAATGTTAGTCTTATGGGACATAATAATTAAATTAAAAAATATTTTTCATATAAAAGTTTACTCACATTTAGGAGAGATGACATCATTATGATCAACTATGATCAGTCAAATGCTGGATAAAACCTTCCCCAAGAGCTACTGAGCTCAACTTTCAGCTGTTCCTCAAACCTTCAACCCTCTTTATAGTAATCATCATATAACATAGCTATAGAACATCCTAAATTTAGTTTATAAATTCCATCTTATCTTGGATGGACCACATTCAGTCATGAAAACAGATTATCGTAATAACCGGTGATATACTCGGAATTGAAAATCCTGTTTTTTAGTTCTGAATGTATTGTTTAAATACAAACAAATGCATGTTAATTTATGGAAAAATATATTGGTCTATTTTTATATATAATTTATGAGGTATCCAATTTGTTCGGGGCATTGTTATTAAAGGTCGCTATTTAAGATTAAAATTAGATGAACTTTTAGATCTCTTGTAGGTAAATCATATCTATTGCGTTAAGATATTTTAGGTATCCAAAAGTTAGTTTTACAGACTACATGGTTAAATGACTACAATACTATTAAATTTTCTTAAATAACTTAAATCTACTTTTAAAATCGATTATCTGTAGATATTGTTATGACGTTTTTTAAATAAAAATAATATTTATTTTCAATTACAATTAAATGTTAAAATCTATAATTTTATTTCAAAACGTTTGCTTTTTATAGAGTCGTTAACATTATTTAAATATATGTATTTGCAAATTCTGCGAAACTCAAATAAGCTATGTTATGTATGAAGGTTTGATATTACAAACCTTCTTGGAATGTGAAACTTATAATTTATAAAGCAACTTATGAGTTACACGTTCATGAGTAAAACTATTTGTTATCTATATCTATGGACAAAAAATATTTTATTCTTACTATGCATTTAATAAGGAAAAATATAGTTAACTATTATATCAAAGTAAATTGACATTGTTTCAAATAGTAGTCATTGTCTTTTATTAATCCCGGAAAGAGCCTTAGGCCTCGGCCTCGAATCTCGCGGGTAGCGGGGCGGCAGCGGCGGCGGCACGAAAACGCATACATTTCTCCGTGCCCGTTGCCCGCTAGTTTGGAGAATAGTATGCGTTTTCGTGCCGCCGCCGCTGCCGCCCCGCTACCCGCGAGATTCGAGGCCGAGGCCTTAAAATCATTCATCAAGGCCTTCGGATTTACAATAAATGTTGAAAGTTGATAATTAATCAATTTCTCATTAATGTCATCGTTTGCCGTGATATAAAAAACTCTATAAAGAGCCATTAGAATTATATTCATACATAGATGCTCCAACAAATTTATTGTTTTAGTTGGGATATGTTTATTCCCGTACTATCGTATAACATTAGAATCTTGTTTAATTCTGATTTTGATAAAATTCTTAAAATAAGGCTAGTATAATAAAAGTTACTGTTTAAAAATAGTTTTGCTATAATTATCCAAAATAAAATATTCCATTTAGTCTCATTTGCGTAATATATTGTTTACGAACAGATAACATCTCGTATCGAGATCACGCCAGTCGTTTCTTTTTTAGTTTCGAGTTTCGTTAGTTGCTATGCACGCGTCGTGGGTGTGTCTCCGTAATCACTACACGCTCGTACGATTGGTTCAAAAACATTTTTTATATCCACATACGTCATTGCATTAAAAAACAATATTGTTTTTCACCATTTAACCCCATATAATGTTTTTCATGATGATCCGTCGTTATCTTTTTTTTTTTAGTGTTTAGTATTCTGTTTACTGCAAAATATTATTGGAATCTCATATTTGTGTTGGTGGTATTAGTTTAATTATGTTGTTTATATTCCGTCTGACTCGAAAGTGATAAGACTTGGTAAATAACCGATTTCAAAGATGTTGAATCTTGTCATATGATTGTTTTCACTTGATATTCTAAATTAAATAAACTAAACATATCAAATCCAAGTCATCATTGGTTAAGAGTATTTTTAACGAATGTTTTTATATAAAATATGTAAGGTGTATTAAATTTCTGACTCAACAAAAATTATATTTAACATTACTTCGTTTTGTAAAAAAATCAATCATTCAACCCAGCATTATTTTTGATATTCTTTTTACACACAATAAGGGAAGAAAACCTCTAAGCATTCCATGGATTCACGGTGCGGGTGCCGGGTCCATCGCGTTGCAGGGAGAGGAGCTTCAACAGACCCTGGGACTTGCGACTTAGTACAAGGGGCCCCTAACTAACGCTCGTTATACGTGCTCACTCCCACTGTCTAAGCTCCTCTCTCTTCCTTACCAAATTTGAAACGAACCTACTAGGGGTGCCTTCGAAGTAAATTCTAAGAATGAATTGATGTCAGTTCTGGACAGGCCCATAACTTTTAATAGGTTGTAGAGAGATTTAGCCGTTATACCTATTTCTCCCACTTTGACAGTGTTGTTTGAAGGCATTGCTTGCATTTATTCTTCAACTCTGAATTCCTATGACACTCAAACGTAATGATATTTTGAATATACTTTCTTTGCCTGCGTAAAACATGATTCTTGGGAAAATCTGCACCTTTATTACCGGAAATTTATACTCTTAAATGAAGCAGTACCTTAGTCTCATAGAAAAAAGGAAACTGTCATGTAGATTTTGGTTTAATTCTTACTATTTGAAAGAAGTGATTTATTTTGAAAAGAACAATCACGTTAGTAGACAGATTACTTTTGTCATGTTCTTGACAAACTTATATAAGACACGCATTTTAATATATTTCAATGAGTTTTTTTTAAACTCAATAGGTTTATATACGTACAGAAATATAATACACGTACAAAATGTATTTGGACAGTTATCATCGAGTTTTTGTATTATTAGCGAATAATATGAAAGGTAGAGAGGCCTATTGCTAAATATCTAAGTAACTAAAGTAATTGGATAGCTCATTAGACTTTTTTAGACAACAACGTGATATTACAGCTGTCCATGTCCAAAAAACTAAGTTTTATTTTATGAAAGAAAGTAATAGAAATACTTGTTGTTATTCTTTGAATATAAGTGGATTTTATAATCATACCATTTTGGATAATTTCCTTACTTGGTTTCCAAAAATCCTTAATGTATTTTAATATAGAAAAAAATATAAAAAGAATTTAATTATATTTATACGTAGTGAATATTTCACATTTTTTATTCTTAAAAAAATCTTAACCAATTATATTTTTCAAAAACTTTCGTCTTAAACTAAAGCACTGTATTCTGAGTTGATAAATAAAGTTAAGTATTTTTTTACCGCTGGGACAAGAAAACCAACTGAAATATTGTCACTGTACGTTTCCGTTTTCCCTATATTAAAAAAATATTAGGTCGAGTTTAATGAAAAGTCATTTAATGAAGTCACTATTTATAGAAGTAACGAATTGATATATATTTATTGACAGGAAAAAAATCATTTAACGAAAATTTCATAATATAATCCAAGTTAAAGTCTATAAATACATACAAAGTTATAAATTAAGTTTAATATAGATGTTATTGTAAGTGAAGTTATTGTTGTATAATTATCAAATAAGATTTAAGACATCACGACATCTGGGCGTTTCTTTGACGTAATATCGGCTGATACTTATCATTGGTATATATATTGATGTGTTCGGTTCGTAACCATATTTCGTACACAACATATCCAGGCTCATCACCTTGAAGATACTGAATTGTTTGAACGTATCTAATTATTATTATAAAGAGAATTATCTGTGGAACATAACCGTTCATTACTGTTTAATTTATTACGTTAATATAATTAATAAAAATAAAAAAATGTGCTGTTATAAAAACAAAGGAATGTGCGATCTGTGCAGAGATTTCCAACTGTCGTTGTTTCAAAGTAAGATTTTTATGAAAAGCTCAGAAGAATGTGTTTTTTGTTTGGTTGTTATGTGTGTACATAAGGATAATTGTTCGCAGATATTCTAAAGAGCTTTCCGGGCGCTGCACCCAAGATCGAAACTGCTAGCTTCCAAGATGACCTCACTAACAGCATGTACCCACCATCACCTGTGGACATCAAGCCAAGTCAAGCGGAGCGAGCTGAAGATCTGCTGCAGCAGCTGGATAGCCAATACAAACAAGGTAACACTTAGCTATTACCGTGATTACCAATATTACCTAATATAAATTCAACAATATTTTATATGGAATTCTAAAAAAAATATTTTTTTGTTAATTTGTAATTTTTCTTTTATACATCAATTCTAAATTAGAGTGACCATAATATTTTATATGGAATATAAAGAAAATATTTATTTAATATTTAGTCATTTTTCTTTGTACGTTAATTCATAATTTGGTAATATTATTCTTGACTGCTATATATATTTTTTGGATTGATAGTTTGTTTATAAAAATTATTCTATTATTTTGAGTTCATACATATTTTATCACACGACTTTTTAAAATATTTTTTTATTCTCAATAGATTAAAAAAAATATTTTGTTATTCAGTTCAGTATCGGTAATTAACAAATAAATTTTGTATATAAAATTCTTTTATACGTTACATTTTTTCGGTTGTCAACTTAGTCATACGATTTTTAAAATTTTACATACTAATTTCATAATTAAATTCAACACTGTCAGAAAATAATTTAATTAAAACAAGAATTTTTTTTAAATATTATTTAAGATAAATTATTGTTCACGTTATCATAGCGAGACATAATATAAATATAATTCGCGATAAAAAAACTATATTAATTCGCTAACTACCTAGTTACAAATGAAACAAATTATTTAATATCATTAATAATTTTCGGGTTTTTCGTAATTAACACAGAAAAATCCTTGATTTTTTTAATCGCGGTGAAAAAAAAGAGGTAAATAATGAGTTTTAACATCAGTACTGTTTCTGTTTAATTAAAGTGATATTTTAATTAAGTTCTTCAGCAGATAATATGAAAATTAATTTTGTATTATGTGTTAGAATGTATGAATGTTAGTTAGTTATACGAATTAAAAATAGTATTTTTTTTAAATAACGGTTTACGAAGTAAAGACTTCAATATATTGATATACTTCTTCTAATGTACCTAATACGTGAAAGAAAAGGTAAATAAATAAAAATTGATTACTCTAATGAAATATTGAATACGAAGAGATAGTTACTACTCGTTGTTAAACCTTTGATAACGAAATCGTTTGGACACTTTTTTTATGTAAATAATATAAATTCCTATAAAAATGTAATAATTTACTAGACTTTGTTGACAACATTTAATAGTGATTCTTAAATTAAAACGTTTTCCTCGTCGGGGAAATACCAGAAAAGCATCAGGTTTATCGTATATATATAAATATTATATTTAACTATAAATTTGTTCAACATATTGTTTTAATTAATTCTTACACATAAATCGCTTGTGTTTATAATATGGACAGAGTTATTTAAATGAAACTAATATTTTGAGGATATACTATATTTTTGATAAAAACTGATCACGGTGACTGTAAAGTAATCGAAACGTCGGGAGTATGTAGTTTTTATCCGCAGGAAAATTGATTTACAATTGAAATATTACAAACAGTTGAAGCCAAGGCAAAGAAACAACTGGCTCGAGGATATTGCAAGAATCTTAAAGTTTGAAGGCCCTTTCCTTTTTCTTTGAAAGTAAAATAAAAAAAATATATAATTTCTCGCTGGAAAAGAATTATAAACACAAAGCCATAATGGACCAAGTCGATCGAGTTTCATTTTATTAAATCCACAACCCCTAAATTGGTTTAAAAACGTGAAATTTATTAATTAATCCAAGTCACCTTCGATGCGAAAAGTAACAGAATGTTAGAAGCAAATATTGATATTAATTAATTATGTTCGCAGTGAGATAAAATCACGATTTTAAAGGACACACCCCTGATCTGTTAATATCGTGTCATGAACACGTTACGTGATCAACAGTTATCACTCATTATTATTATTATAACTTAACTAATTATTACCATCATTACATATTAAAAGCTTTGAGACGGCATAATGTTCTTTAATATACAAAATTCGTTTGCGGTATTAAAAGAGGATTTGTCAACGACTTCGTCTTGTCCTTTTTTAGTATTATGTTCGGAGAAAATTAATTAGTACTTAATATTAGCTGTATGTATACTCAACCGCCAGCGACATCTATGGTCAGTTAAGTGATGTTATACTTTCAACTATTACGTGTTCCCGTGCTAACTGAATGAAGGGATAAAATATTTCCTACATACTATTCCGATTAAACTAAACTACGCTATTGGAAAGTTTCATTGAAATACGTTCAATACAATTGAAAAAGCAACATACATAATCACAAACTTTTGCCTTTATTAATTATTAATAGGATAAAACTCCGATAACTTTGCTCGTGAATTGAGTGAGTTGCCACTGCAGTGTTTTACTTTCACTTGCCTTTTAATATTCCGTGTTCCCTTCAGAGCGTAATAACTTTTATTATAGACTAGCTTTCCGCCCGCAGCTTCGCCGCGTGGAGTTCGGTTATATCGCGTTTCCAAGAGAACCTTTCAAAAGTCTGGGATAAAAACTATCCTATGTTCTTTCTCAAGGTCAACTCTATCTCTGTACCGAATTTCATTAAAATCAGTTCAGTGGTTTAGGCGTGAAAGCGTAGCAGACAGACAGACAGACAGACAGACAGACAGACAGACAGAGTTACTTTCGCATTTATAATATTAGTAGGGATTTTATCAACATGTAACAATACTGTTTGTTAAATTTGACCTTAAAGAGAAAGTTAAATGGTTTAATATATATTATATTACAAAAAACGTTAATTTTGTGTTTATAGCCGTTTTGAAATGGAAATGCATCTCAGCATCGTAGTTTTCGTGGTAGTTGAGTTACTTATGTATTCACTTGTTGTACAAGGAGGGGAAAGGCGAGGCGGCTGGGGTGGGAGAGGGGGGCACTGACATTGTATGCGCGCGCGCAATCAGTTGTAGCGTGTACCGCGCCGCGTCTGCAGGTTCGGTAATATCCGTGACAATAAATACAAAAAGATCAGCTAAAATCGGGCGTTCGCGCTCGGCTCGCGACCTATGCCTGCCGACGTCCATGTGCCCCTTGGACGCCGTTAGAATGAAGTACCACTATCGCTGCATCTGGAACAAGGAGATAGTGTTCAATTCACAAAAACTTGTCAAAAGACGTTAGGTGTCTGTGGACCGATATCCTGAACTTTTAACGACGACTATAGCTCGCAACACGAGGACTCCACTCTGCAAAAACCACTGCCCATTTAATCGTATATAAATAACTTTAGAACTGTATTATAGCAGTAAGAGCATTAATAGAGGACTATAATTATTTTGATAATATATATTTGGATATCGTGATGGCCCTTGCAGATCTATATGCTGGTAGGTGTTTCTATCAGAAAATTTACAATGACCTATGTTATTGTGATTTAGATCTTATTTCAAGGTCTTTACGCTCCAATTCTGTTTATTTTATTCGAATGAAAAATTATTTTTTTGTCAATATTTTTTGTTGTTCATATACGCAATATTATATCCGATTTCATCAACGCCATCAAAAATTTAAGTTAAAATGTTGTTATTTGAAAGGTACAGATATGTTTGCACAACAAACTGGTTTTGTATTTTCATGTTTCAAATGACCGACATAATTATTATTCTGCCTCAAATATATTAAATAATTATTGTCAATTATATTATAGCGAGAAACAATCGCGTCAAATAATCACGTATATTAATGCATACGAATGCAATTATTTAACCGTTTATGGACCAGCATAACATAAACTTATATTAAAATTCATAAATGCAGGTTGTTATATTAATAATTGTCACACGCATTAACATTAACATATATAATAATGTCCTTTTGTTTGTCCGTATATAAAGTTATTGAACAATCTAAAAACATTGGTTTGAACTTATAAAAGTAATAGCTTTTTGCATTCGGTTATTATATTGAAGGTTGAAACGAGACAATGAATTCATTGTTAATATAATAACTAGCATTTGGAGATATAACGACATATATTTTGATAAAATATGTAAGTGAAACCGGCGGTCGCAACATAGTTGATCAATCACGTTACACGTGGCGCCAATACATTAGATACCAGTTAATAGCACAAATCAATTGTCACACTGTAAGCTTGTTTGTGATATTGTTTTGTGTTTATTATTATAAAATCTTTATACGTTAAAGCGAACAACTGATAAACCAGTTCGCTGAGAGGGCGACCTCGTGCGCTGTTCACTCAATAATAATTAAAGTGACTTATTGGCTACTTTATATCATTCCTACGCATTGATATAGATTGTGATACATCAATGAAGGCCTGTTCAATTCGGTTCCTTTAACACTCACTTTGATGGAAGTTATTAATTCAAATATACATATGCAAATTATATAAACTTCCACGTTTTGATATATATTAATATTATTCGCTTCTAAACAAACATATTAAATGATTATTTAGATTGATCTCTGCCTGTGATGGTCGTATTTTTTTTGCATTATCATAACATTTATATACCGATATTTAATCTTGGATGTTAAAGTATCATGAATCAACGTTCTCTTAAATATTCTTTATAAAATATATAACTACGTATATTCAAATTATCATCTATTAATAAGTCCAGGGCACAGAATTTCTGAACTCTCCAGATTACGAGAGTTTATCAGAGGTCAACTTTATGTCTGTCGATACATCTTTATATATCATTGATTTTAAATTCCTTATATTGAATAAATATATAATATTCATATATTTTTATTACAATGATTCAAATAAAAGGCGTATCTGAAATGTATCGCTCGATCAACCGTAACCCAGATATTGATTCCAATTGACATTTCTAAACAACTAATGTACAAATAAAAAACTATGAAGGCGAGACAAAATGTTCACAATTATATTTAATTGATTAAAACGCGTGCGACATTCATAAATTAAAAATACCGTATCATTCCCTACACTTTAATATATATATTAAAATTATTATTTTCTATATTATGAATGTTGTGTGTTCTATAAAGCAAGATATTTTTTATAATACGTATAAAAATTTATGATCGAGAACTAATATAAATAAACCTTGATCATAACATTAATTTAAATTAAAATTGCAAATTTCATTTAATTATGTTTTAATGTATAGTCAACATTGAGGTCGCGATATCAAAATTCGTACATAATAATAATGTTGTCATTTTTTTTGTATATATTTCAATGCTGGATCTATTTAATTATAACTAATCATTGTATTGAAAATCATGAAATAATGATCCCTTTGCTACTATTGTACATAATATTATGTAGAAAAAAACTGTCCAAAAGCCTTGGAATCGCATGATTGTGAAATCAATAATTAATATTATTCGCGTACCGTAAAACAATGGATTATTCACGGAGTTTAGATGACTTTGTGCAAATTTAATATTATATTTATGTTCAATAGAAGATTTATTACTATGAATCTTTTTTATACATAATTTTAAATTTTTTGTTTTCTTTAAACTTATTTATAACATATATTTATTATATAAATAGTTAATTATCATTAAACAATCATTTAAAAACAGTATATTCTGTTAATTATATGTACATTTGTGAGCGTCGCTATCAATAAACAAATACGAACTGAACTAGTAGGCACTATATTTTACTGTTTACATATTGTTTATGATAAATTAAAATACATTGTCGTTTAATTATATTTTTACATTTATATTAATTCAGACATATATTATATTACAGAAAACATATACCCTAACTGGTTCGAAGAGAAAGTTGAGAACAGCATCTTCGATAGCATCAGTCAGGGACCAGAGCCGGAGTTCAGGCCGGTGGCTGTCGATTACACCGCGCAGACTGTGCCGCGCTCCACCGAGGTTCTATTGAGGGAGTTCGAGTCGGTGTACAGTGGCGTCCAGCTGACTCACCTCACCCCGCCTCAGAGCCCGCCCGGTCCGGCTACCCAGCTCCTGCTAAGCTACGCCCAAGCGCAGGCCGCTCCGGTACTACAGCCGCTACCTGTCGAGCAATGGCCCATAATCCAGCCCCAAAGCTCGATACCGGAATACGACTGCGATCCTCAGGCCCTCGAGGAGTTGGTCCGTCATCGTGCTGCTCAATTACAATCGCCGCAGCCCGCGCACAGCCCTTCACCATCTCCGCAATCATCACCGTCCTCATCGCCGCGGTCGTCTTCCACTGACGAGGATTGGACTTCATCTCGCCCCAAGCCGTACTCCAGGAACGGTGATGATCGCAGGTCTCGCAAGAAGGAGCAGAACAAGAACGCGGCTACCCGCTACCGTCAGAAGAAGAAAGCCGAGATCGAGGTGCTCCTCAACGAGGAACAGGAGCTGCGCAAGCGACACGGCGAGCTCGGGGACAAGTGCTCCGACCTCCAACGTGAGATCCGCTACATCAAAGGCATCCTGCGCGACCTCTTCAAGGCGAAAGGCCTCATCAAATAAATCTCTCTCTTCACCTCGGACGTGATTGATTATTCACCGCAACGGATGCGGTCCGATGAAAAAATTCCACGGAAGTTTGGGAATTGAAAAAATTTTAATTGATGATAACTAAATTTATTGTTGTAGTTAAGATCGGTAAACTGTATCGTAAGTCTCATATCGAGCAGCATATATCGCTATGTTATTTGTCGAGGACAATACCTTAATATATTTTACTAACATCCTTCTTTTCTTTAAACCGTACGTAGGTGGCGCTACTTTCTCATAATTCATTTTTTTCATTATTTTAGATGATAGGTTGCATTCATTGTAATGGAAGCAGAAATTTTCTTGTTGAGCATATCATGTCATCTCAGTAATTATTGTATTTACGTACAAATAGTTTTGGATGAAACAATTTACTTGTTCTGTTTTCTTACAATATAAGGAATGCGACGGCGGAAAATGCTGTTTTATTTATTGCCTCATGTTTTAATCATAGATAAGGTGTTATTTTGCAAAACTAATAATGAATGCATACAGATTATATTGATATAATCTTGCATTTTAACTTAATGCCGATTTAATTGTTGGTTTTGTTATATGATACAGTTTATACATAGATTCTTTTTATTGAAAACTTGATACACATTTTATTTAAATATATACATTATAACAAGCGTAATAAATTATAAGACAACTCTGACAAATAGCTTAACATACTTTACAAATATTTTACAACTTTATTATCTTATCTTTTATTGATATTCAGTCTTCGATGTAAAGTTTTTTCTGCATTCTTATAATTTTTCTGCACTTAACGACAATAATGCTTTTTATCTGTTAACAAATAAATTAAAAACAAAAAGGTACAACCAGAACTACGAAATAATATTTACTTAATTCTATATTTACGTTTGTGGACCTTACGTGGTGAGTAAACTGTGCTTAGGAAAACTCAAAACATTATTTCAAAGTAGTTTTCCTTAACTTTAATGCATTGGGACTGTCAGTTGACCCTCATCGCCGAGTCACTGTGATAACATTTGTTTGTATTCTATGAGTCTGTTAATTAGTGAACAGTGACCTTCGCATTTCTAGTCATCGAAAAATTAAATACAGTCTTGGCTATTTTTTGTTACTCGTAGCATCTTCATTCAAATTCTGCTTAATTTGAACTAGTTGTAAATGATGCCTTTGCTATACGAGACCCAAAAAATAAGACCCCTAATTCAAAGTATGCCACGAAGTCCCTTCTCACTTCGCAAAGAATTTTAGGTCTTCACAAAAATTCTCCGTTTCAAGGTCTTATGCTTTGTTTTATATGAAATAGTTACATTTATTATATTCATGGCCTCAAATTTATGACACTTAATTATTATCACTTGTTGAATTAAATTTTCCCCTTTTCTTACCCAAGAGGAAACTCGGAACGAGGGAATTTTGATACATAGTAATTTTCGGTAATCTATAGTTTTTTGTTATACTACATATTATATTAAGTCAGTACAATACATATTTGGTTTGAGCGTTATAGTATAGCAGACTATCGCTTTATAGTATAGATATATAGTATAGACAGCAGATATAGGTTTATTATTAAGAAATCAAAACATATAATTCTATAAAGTTTAAAGCACACTTTATTAAAGACATAAAACAAATTAAAAATTTTATAAAACCCCGGCCCAATCAGAAACATGAAGAGAACCAGCAAGTTAAATTCATCGAGCCCAAATTCGATGGGTTTACTGAAAGGCAGTCCAGGGTTACGTCTCTTATCTTCGAGCCCTAAAATCAGACCAGCTTAGTGGTTCCAGAAGACATCAGTGCTTCAAATGTCAGATCCCACATATGCTTGCCAGCAAATTGTGCGTGTAACATTCCTACCACACCTAACGAACGACCTGATGACCTTGAAGACCAGAACCGATTTCCATCAAACATACCTAAGAAAACTCTCGACGGATATAACTTTCAAACAATAAAAACCGCATTAAAATCGGATCATCTGTTTGGGCGCTTCGTTACCACAGACAGACACATACACATACATGTCAAACTTATAACACCTCGTCGTTTTTGCGTCGAGGGTTAAAAATGAATTCCGTAAATTATACGTACACGTCATACCCAAAGATTCAGTTTTGTCAAGTTGTAACTTTGTTTTTGTCTGCAAAAAAAAGGGTTTATAAAATCGGTATGTCAATTGTCCAACATTTTAATTAACATGATTTTCTACATCACCGAGTATTAGCTAATTATATCTAAGTATGACATTTAAAACATAAAAAAAAAAGAATATGAATATATAAACTTAAGACCTCAGGTTCGAATATAATTTAATGGGACATGCAGAAAAGTACTTTCAAATAATAAAAACTATAAGGACAATAAAATTACTTTTAAAAGTATAATCCTTTCGATGGTTTTGAAATTTCAATCAAATAGTTTTGTTAAGGTCGGGATCGAGACCATTAAAATACCAAAACCTATTTTATTTATTTTCCAACCTATTGGGTAAATCAAATGATTGGTATTTCTTTAGGTTGATTCCTGGATATTTACTGTTCTATCCCTCCGTGTCTTTTGCAAGTATTTGGGTGTTATTTTTATTATTTTATTCAATACTATTCCACTATGAATGTATAGTAAACGCACACTAGTGTGAAATGTTGAAGGAATTTTCCGGTTTAATGTTCCGTATATGGTGTTAGTGCCAAAAAGCAATTTGTCTCTTTTGTGGTAAAAACAAATTATTTTTCTGTTGTAATTACTATTGCATAAATTAATTTCTAGTTTTGTATTTATAACTGGCTCTGCGAATTAAAACAGTATAGATTCATTTTAAAATATGGTTTTCACTTCAGTTAGTCTCTATAAAATAGGTGCAGATTTCTTCATTCTATTTCAGTAGTTAATAGAAATGTATGATGATTTAGATCGTAGGATGTAAATTTGTTTCAAAATCGACTATTCGACAACCCTAGAGAAGCGTGTGACGTTCCTCTTTGAACTGAGTATGTTAGATATTTTGAATATCTACTTTATTTTTAAGTGCCATCAATATAAAAAAGTAATTATTAAACACTTTTTAACCACTTCGTTTCACTGCTTTACATTACCAAATATATAAGTATTTGTAAATATCCCTTTTTTATCTTTCTCTTAAATAAATATTAAATTCTTTAATTAGTATGTATTCTGGTCTATACTTGTCTTGCATATTACAATTGATATGCCTATCATATATATCTTGTCTCATCTTGTGTACACACGTATGTTGGTTTGTGTGTTTTCTGGTGTTTATTTTATTTACGTAGTAAGTATATTATAAAGTATTCAGTAGTGATATTTACACTACCTTACATTGTTTATATATTTAATTAATATAATTATTCTGAGCTGGTTTCTTCTCGTCTCTTTTGTCTATTTAGTTTCAATGAAGGTGGTGTATTCAAGATTATTATTAACAATAAGACCGCCTTTACAACTTCTTTTTTGTTATTTCTCCAGCAAAATATCTGTATTAAAATGTTATTATTTATTTAAAGACTGTTGCTGTATTTCTTTCTATATTTTTTCTCTACTTCGAAGATTTCTTGGTGTTGTTTTTAATATTATATTTTAAATTATAATATAAAAAAATTATACAGAATGCAACTATGATTAAGTATTTGTATTTGGTCACTATTGTGAATAAAACCTTGAATTTAATTTACAAGTTTTTGGACCTCGTATTTTTTGGAGACGTCTTTTGTATCATTTGATAAAATAAATGAAACACTAATGACTAGAAATTTTATGATGGAATAATGGGACCCTGTCCCCACACAGCCCTCATTTCATACATGTTTAGTATTTTGTTAAAATATCCCGTTTTCATCATCACTTCTCTACCATCTAATATAAAAAACAACCCAAACTCATCATATCAACCAAACAATTCTTATTCGACCTCCAATTTATGTATTTGGGATCGAGGTCCTTATGTTTAAAGTAATCGCCATTTGTTTTATTTCTCTGGCTCAGTGAGACATAAATGATATAAAATACAAATATGTGTGTCCTATTATTTATATGTTTAACGTGGGCTTATATTTATATATGTACATATTATTTAGGAATATTATTTTTTTTGCTTTGTTTGTAATATAATTAATTTGTTATGAGAAATTAAATGAATATGTATCCCGAGTTCGTCTATGCAAGGACAAAACAAGGTTCTATAAGACTGGATTCCGTCGTCAACGTTGTGAAGGTATTAGAACCGTTCCTTGCAGCTTTGGAATTTTTATGGAAATCGAGCGATCTTTCAAGGTCACCCTCATATTAAGAGGAGGCTTTTGTATATTATATTACGTAAGTCTTTTATGAGACCACAAAGTGACAAAGGAATTGTTTCCCTTAATTATTATCATATAAAATTCAAACAAAAAAGTATGTAAATAACAAATGGAAAGAGTATATTTGCTTCAGTTGTTTGAAAAATAAATGGGAATCTTTGATTCCCAGTTATTTATGAGGCAGATTTGTCTACGTGAATGTTTAGTGGCCCGAGAAAATGTACCTACCCTTGCCCTATTTATATTTACAGAGTAACTCTTGCAGACGTATCCTACCTGATAGAAATTACAGTACATATATATTATACAGTAATCAGTACATACACATATATACTATATCTTAAATTTTAGGAACGATTCTAACGTGTCTTGTAATTTATAAAATTGCATTTAGGTTGATGAGGTGTAAGTTTTTCGCTAGTATTAATTGAAATAAAACTAATAATTTAAGGATTTACTACGCGTTTTTAATTATCACGTTTGTCCGTGATCACTGTTGCTACAAAAGAACCGAAACGTCTAGAGTATGTTGTTAAAAATAATTATAAACGCTTGTAAATCCCAACAATATCAGATTCATTTAGGTTTTTTATCCCACGTTTCGATAACCTAACTATAATTGTATTAACAGGAAAACGAGATGAAAGTCACTTTCTTATAAAATAGGTTTTTTTT